TCGAGACCCGGGTCAGAGGACCGAACCCATTGCAAAAAACTCGACTAGATTTGGTTAGGTTTGGACCATTCTATGACCCCAAACGTGACCAAGGGTTCTGTAGGCGGTTGAATGCCATACTTCTACCTTTAAAGTAGAACTCGATGAAAAACCGTAAATGCTAGCACAATTCTGTGCCAGCTGCCAGCTGAGCAGTAGTAGAGGGGGGCGATTGACTTGGGTCACTGCATTTGGCTTTCGCCACTCAAATTGGAGCTTCCTTGAAGCGCTGTGCCTCATCACAAAGAAAGTATCTCTCCATGGACTCTCCAACTGTGGTGACAGCGCCAGCCGCTGAGGCAGAAGTTGCAGAACTCAAGGCCGAGGAAAGTGCTCCGCAAGCGGAGCAGAAAGGGGTACAATCGAAGGGCTTAGCAACCACAAGTGAGATGAAGGTGCAGACCTCGGAGATTGAGGAGGAACCTCTGGCATCAGAGAAGAATGTGCTGCAGCCATTGCTCAAATCTGACGCTGCCAGCGCCCAAGTGCCTGCCCAACTGTCTCCCAATTCAGGAGGCTGGGGCTGGGGCCTATTGGCCAGCGTAGCAAAGGCCGCGGAGAACTTCACGGAGGCGGTATGCATTCCAAAATTCTGCCTTCCTCCTTACTTCAATTGTTCAGAGGGGCAGAATAGGGTTTTGTATTACATTATGCAACGGCCAAGTGTGGCAGCTGATTGAGAACCCCCAGTAGCTATGCGGCAAGTTTTATTTGTTGCAGGCAAGAGCTGCTTCTCCGTTCAGTAGGACTGCCCCACATGAAATTGTTTACGGCCAAGTGTGCATCGATGCAACTCTCTTGCAAGTTTCGTCACCTGGCTATCAAGCTATGCTGTCTTAACTCTTTGTCTTCAGCTTCTATAATTCATGTTTGAAAAGGACACGATGATAACTAGTGCTACTGACCATCCAAGATCAGACCACAGGGATTGTTGGGTTGACTACCAAGCTCTGTCAAAAGGTCTCTTTTGGAATGAGCCAACCGTTATGGGCATAAGCTGAATATTCCTTCCAATTGCCTTCTTTCTCCAGCGGCACCCATCTTAGATTATCCAGATTATGATTGTCCTCTGCAGGCTGTGGAAACTGCCAAAGAAGCCGCAAAGAGCGTGGCTGAGCTGCAGACAACACTTGTAGAGTCTCTTGAGGGCGAGGCTAATCAAGCACCTGCAACGGAAGGTGATGCCCCAGTGACGAAAAAACTTGATGCGGCAGAGACAAAGGGTGAAGCTGAAGACAAAAGTCTCCCTGTAAAGGGGGCCAGTGAGAGCGAAGAAGATAAGCGACGGCAGGCTGCGTTGGACAAGCTGGGGAATGCGAGCAAAGACTCCTTCCTTGGACATGTGAGTCCTAGTTAATCCGCTTGACTCACCTGCAGTGAGCTCTTTTTGTCATCTGCACCCTCATCTTTGCTTGATTCACTTGCAGTGAGTAATGTTTGATACTTGTAACTTCTTGTTTGATTGTTCAGTCAGCTTGATTCCCTAAAAAATGAGGTATATTCTATACAAGTAAGTTTTTTGTTTGATTGTTTCATCTGCTTGATTCACTTTGCACTGGTTTCTCTTTGATACTTGTGACCTTCTCTTTGAACTACTGTAAAGCAAAATATGATCAGATTCTGAAAGTTTGTTCTTTCCGTTATATCCATTTAGTGTGCTGATTGAGCCTCTCAATTGAGGCCCAAAAGCGTAGCCTTCCTAACGCCAACTTTTGCACCGACTCTGCCTGTCATTTCCCCTCAGGACACCACATGCTTTTGCACTATTCTGTCATATTGGTTCGGCTCATGTCATTTGTTGCAGAGCACTCTGTAGCACCGAGTATATGAAGATTCTCACATGTCAAGAGGGTGCCCTTCTCCTGGTGCAGGGCCTGAAGGTCCTGGACGACTCGGTTGAGAATCTCGCACTGAATGCAATGGCTGCGTTTGGGAGTGCGTGGAAAGGCTCTGTGAACATCGTACATCAACTGGAGCAGCAGGCGGAGGCTTTGGCAGAGTCTGAGAAAGTCAAGTCAGGGCTGAAGGTGGGTGCCTCTGCGGGTGCCAATGCCCTGATCTTTCCTCCCTGATCCCATCATGGACACCCTCAAACCGATTGGCAAGCGCGGTGTATTTGCCTCTTGCCATGTTCACTTTTCTTTAGTAAAGCTCCTGTTGAACCTGCTGTGAGTGGCAGAAGGAAGGCTTGTATTTGTTGTTGTTTGCGTATGATCTTCTTGAGCCACTCGTCCACTGAAGGCATTGTTGTCCTTTGCAGAGTGGCAGTGGGGTGCTGGCCAAGAGCACCGCAGTGTTTGAGGGCATTGGACGCCGCACCATGGTGAGATCCCTCTTCCTTACCTTCGATTGGGTGAAATATTAATTAGGACCTTGTCCTTACTAATCGTACACCCATATGTCCTTCATCTGCTTCAAGAGCTTACAATGGGCTGATTTTATTCTTTATGATCTCAAAGCTTACCGGTTGACTTCAATTCCAATGCCTGCAGGAGTTGCTGGCTGAAGAGACTGGCATCGAGCTGGAGAAAGACGAGAACGAGAAGGCCGTTGAAGACAAGCACGACGAGGAGGCAGGGGAGGAGGTGACCTTCGACAGATGCTTCTACATCTACGGGGGTCCCGAGCACCTCGAGGTAAATTGGAAGCTGCTGGACGGATCGTTTTAACCATTAAACTTCACTGGACGGGGTTCTCCACTTATTTGGGCTCTTGATTTGAAGATCTGTGAGCTGTCTTTCCAACCCGTTCTGGCAATCTTGTGGAGTTTTCTGGGTAAATCCGGCTGCCTTTCTTACGTACTTGACCACGTTCGTTTCGCTGCCACCTCGTGACAACTTTAAGGAACAGCAGTCAGCTCCCCACTTAGTCCTTTTCGAGGTTAAACACCTGACATCGGGCAGCAGTTCTCCATCCCCTAGCTCGCCTTCTCTCAGGGAAACAGCGATGTCTTCGAAATATTCTTTCTGCTTTGACTTTTCGAATTGTCCCTTTGCTATCGTTCAACTAGGTTGTCCGTTTCACACTCTAATACATTCGTTTCACCCTACCCCATGCTCAACTGAGCCTTCATATCGAATTGTCTCAGCAAGCGTATGTGGATGTCAACTCCTCCTCTTTACTGTTTCAGGAGCTAGAGGCCCTGTCCAACCACCACGCTCTCATGTACAACCGCGCCCGGGCAAAGCTTGCGGGCGATAAGAGGGCGGCCCTGGAAGCCACGCTCAAGGAGTTGCAGAAGCTCCTGACATTGGAGGCGGAGGAGGGGTCTGCAAAGAGCGCAGCAGGAAAGAAGGACGACGAGGAAGAGGGAGAGAGGGAAGCCGAGGTACGTCAGTGCGGAAGATATATTCGTTTTGTTTCCATACTGTTGAGCGGCAAGCTCTTTGGTCCCCGGCAGAACGGAGACAAAGTTGTTTAAAGAGATACACTTTAGTTTGATTAAAGAGAGGCACAGAGATGCGGCAGATTGCCGTTTGCTACGTTGCGTCGAAGCGACGCCTCGTCAAGTGAGATCTTAGGGTCCCAATTACACCAGAGAAACAGCTGTTTCAGGTTCCACTCAAAAGCAAAGCAATGTGAGTTTGGATTTCCCTTTCCAGTTGCCAATATCTGGAACTGTGTCTGGCATCATTCTTCTCGTCCTTAGACATCAGACCTCTGTCGTCAAGTCAATAGCGACCTTCGTTTTGTGAGTCAGCTTCTGCAGTTACGCTTCTAAATCAAACAAACCGTCCTCGCATCGTTTCGCTCGCGCCTAGATCCGGTCGCTCCGGGAAGCCGGCATCAGCCAAGCCACGGACATGGCTTCCACGTTCACGACGTCACTGGGCAGCGCTTCGAGCGACGCCGCCAGTCAGCTGGAGGAGGTCTTGAACAAGGCGACCGAGCGACTGGAAGAGATCAAAGGCGAAGGTGTCCACGTAAGGATCTGTCTCGTGTTTTCCCACCGGGCATGCCAAATGCTGCATGAGTTTTTAGATATGCTGATCACCATCCAGGCTCCGAGGTGAATCCCGCACTGTTCTTGACTACGGGAGTGGTTCCGCAGTGTTTCCCGGTGGGCATGCCAAAGAGCTACACGAGTTCTCAGATTTTTGATCACCATCCAGCTCCCGGTTTGAAGTGCACGGCGTTTCTTTGACGACGGGAATAAATCCGCAGGACTTTGGTACCAACTACAGGACCGGAGATTTTGGTTTTGAAGCAGAGAGACTTTCCTATCATAGTGACAATCTTCTTGCGTACATCTTTTGTCCTTCCATTGCGCTCCACCTGACGCAGCTCCAGTGGCCGTTACGTTAGTATTGGACCATTATTCACGAATCCAAGTTGCATGTTGTGAGGAAACCATGCGATCAAGTTCGCCGGCTAATCAGAGTGCCGCTGTACTACAGCGACTGTCCGAACTTTGCGCGCTGTGCATCTCGCACTTGCTTCTGTTGGGCGAGGCCGTCTTGAAGACGGGTTCAGGCGAAGGCGCAGAAGCACTGACACCGTCGAAGGGGACACCGCTGAGGGTCGAGTGGCCGGAGGACGTCGTCAAGCGCGCCGAGCTGATCAAGGAGCGCGCCAGATCGATGCTGCGAGATATCGAGTTGTTGTCGGTGGGTACCCTGCCCTCGTTCCTTGTTGGGACTCTGATTTTCACTTGCTCGAGCGTTTTATCAGCGATTCGATCTTTGCGAAGGCCGAGTTGTTGGCATAGAGGAATATCTCCTTTATCAAGAGCTTGCTAGTTAGGAGTGTGCAGATCAGGGTTCGAGTGTTACTTGGCTGGGTCGACAGACAATTGCTCGGAAGGTTGGGAACACTGTTGCAGGAACCAGTCAAGAAGCCGTCTCGCCTTATTGAGGAATGGGCAGACAGAATCTGTGTCACAGGAGACGTTCCATGACTAAACCCGGGGTCCTTTTGCGTGCGTCTCGTTTGGAGTCGGCCCCGGACAACTCATGAAAGCGGAAACCGACAGTGTCAATGGCAGGAGTTCTGAGTTTTTGACGCCGTGATTCCACGGCAGAGCTGTCGTGGAGCTGTGCTTAATGGCCGGCCACTGATTCTCACAGCACAGAGATTGAAGGCTCGAGCCCCCCAGGAAACTGTGAAATCTTATAGAGGTCGTCTACACAACGCCCTCGTCGGGCCAATACAAGCAGCATTGGGTGCTTGGAGTAAAGTGCTGCCACCAGCTTTTCAATGACAACGGAGCGCAAACACTCCGTTTCCACTGTCGCCCTGCGACGTCAGGCGTTAAGGGCCCCACGACTGAACCTACTGGGAAAGCAGCTCACTTCTTTTGCACGCTTCTCTTCAGGACGCCTTCACGACGTCCATCTCGGAGGTTGTCAAGGCCTACGAGACGGTCTCCTCCAGCTCTGCCTCCGCTGCCGAAACCGGGGACGCTTCAGCGACCAAGTCTTCCCCGCTCGATGAGAAGCTCGCTGCGCTCAGTGGCGACCTGGAGAGCGACACGCATACTGCGGTTGGGAAGCTGCAGGTGAGCGGATGAGAGATGTTCCAGGAAGAGTTGTTCGCGATGTGCCGATAGGCAAAGTGCTTTCGCTCTGCACCTGCGAGGTAGGATCTCTTCATTTGTGTCGAGCTTGCTTGCATGTTGGCCTGGACAAACTTTTGGTCAAGCTTAGAGTCATTGCCGAAGATTGCGCAAGTTAAGCTCCTTCGGGGACTGGGTCTTAGTGTTTCCATTTTCTTGTTTGTAGGACGGTTTGCAGTTCCTCGTGTATCCTGTTGTGTCAACATCAATGAAAGGGTGAAGTTGAGCAAAAATGGCATAGCAGAAAGCTAGTTTGAGGTGATTCCCCAACTACTCTATTGGTGGTAATCTCCTTGTGAATACTGTCCTGGGATTCTGGAAGGTAGACTTACCATACACGTCCTGCTCTCTGACAATTCTGATTGCTGTACACAATTCTATGATTCAGCAGGATGTATAATGTGACGGGCTACTTGTGAACAGTCAAGCTGGCCGCCCATCTTTGGTCTTCATTATTCAATTCCAGGACTAGCATCTCAGGGTTTGTTCCGGACATGTGCTCCGAGCATTCACTGCTCTTTCTCATGGCATACGGTCAATCTGCAGGCTGTATCCATGGTAACGTTACGTGCCAATTTTCAAAATCTCAATGAGCATAGATTATCATGGTACATAAATGTGTGCTGCGTGCATAGGCATTCGTGCAATGATGCATCTCAACTACATGCAGGTGAATTGAGTTCCAGCTATTTGATTGCCCCTAGGCATGTCTAAGTATCCTTTTTTTCTTGCGTGAAATCATAAAGATTTCACATGGTGCGCTTGCAAGAGTTCGGCCTGTATAAACGTGCTCGCCCGCGGCTCCAGCTTGCACTGGCATGTGACAGTCTGCTGGATCAGGCGCAAAATTACTACCATCGTATGAAACATGCGAGCATTGTACGTTAGCGAATAGGCTGGCATACAGGTAGAACCGTGCAGCTGATCGACTTTGTGAGACTTGCAGATTAAGTCAGTCACTTGCATGCCATGCAAAGGTGAAACAATCTTGCACGACTTCAACTCAAGGCTCTTGCACAAAGGTGTCATGATGGCTATGACGTTTTCTGAAAATTACTCCACTTTGTCAACATCTACGACAATCTCCACATTCTTCTGCACGACCCTCTCTACCGCATCAGTGGTTGCATTTCTAGAGTTCCGCCAAAGCTTCGATCAGCTCCCAATGGTCATCTTTAACGATCAGCTTTTTGCATGAAATCGTGTTCTCAAAGCGTAATAATGTCTCAGCGGCAATGTTCTTTGAATTCCAAAGCAAGGAATCCTGCGCCTTCTCCTACAGTGCTAAGGTCGTAGTATCGGTCACGTGGATACTTCACCTCCACCTCATTCAGATTTGGACACATGGATGGGAACGTCCAAAGGGCATCCGCATTGGGGAGACTCCCGTCAAGGATGACGTGCTTCAAAGAAGAGAACTTTGCACCGCCGGTGGCAGCCCAGTATGTGTGGTCAATAACCTGCCCATCTGCAACACTACTGACCGTTGTCGAAGAACCGCGATCTACAATGACCAGATTCTTCAACTTTGGACAGCCCTTGGCAAGAGGTGCCAAGTCGTTTAGATGAAACGCCAAAGGCACTACCTTTTCTCCAACCAGTGACAGTGATTCCAACTTTGGAACGTGTTGACCAATCAGAGACAAGGTCTGAGGTGTGATTGGAGCAAAGTCCTTCTCCTGAAGAAAGCCCTCTTCGAGCATATTCCTCATCTGGTCATGTATAGTATCGAATGACCCATTCCAGACTCCCAACTCAAGAGAGACAATGCTTCTTCCGGCCTTTTCTAAGAAGCTTAGCAAAGCTCTCTCCTTGGTGAAGGTGTTCTTAAGGTCTACCTTTCTCAGCGGCAAGGTAGAGTTTCTTTGAAGGTCAATTGAACGCACTTTGCAAATGCCGGTCACATTCAGAACCTCCAGTTGAGGACACGCTAAGTAGATGGACTCAAGCTTGTGTGCCCCACTAATGTCAAGGCTAGTCAGTTTTGGTAAATGGAGATTCAGGTTACAGAGCCCTTTGCCTTCTTCAGAATACAAGGACTCTTCAAGGTAAAAGATGGACAGATCCTCCAAATTTGGGCAATTACGGTGCAAAAGATCCACCACCCTGTCATCGAACCAGCTTGCAGATTCAACAGATTCAGTGAAACCTGCGTCCAAGTCCGCGTGAACTGAAAGTGTGAGAATTCTGATCCACTCTGTTCGTCTAGTGTGCAAACCTCCAGCAAAAAGCGACAAAACGCTTTCCTGGTATACAGTGATATCAACTTCCTCCCAGAGCACCTCATCATCTGCGATAGAGCGGAATCGTTTGCAAACTTGCGCAAGCGTTCCTACACACCCCTTCAGATTTGTGAACAACCTTGGAAAGCGGTAGGGAGGTCCGGAGCGCTTGTATTTCTTTTCTAACATTTCCAGCTCTTGCTTACCAAGGACATCTTGGAAAATTGACAGAACCAGGTTGTCGGGCAGCTTGTCAAAATGGCAAACTTCGGGAGCCATCTTTCTCTGAGATGCATTCGCCTCAGCCTCAGGCCGCAGGCTTGCCCTCCAATGCCAGCTAGCTGGCTCCACACAGCGCGCTTGACTCAAATCTTTGACAAAGCCACCCGCAATGCATGGTCAAGACTCAAGCCTCCTGTGTAGCTTTTGACAGACCGGACAATTTGACACTACCGGAAGTGTCACCTCTAGGTTGGTACATGGACGTAGGTACGTAAGTTTGCTAGTCTTACAAATTGCGTCACTGGTGATGTCACACAGGGTTAACACCCTAACATACACTAAAACCCTAGGGGTAACCATTGACCAAACCCTAAGGCGTTCCGCCAGAGCCCACCCGTACCCACCCTAACCCCCCAGCTAACCCCACCAAGATCAGTGGTTTGTGCTGTTTGTAACCCGCGATTGCCCCGAGCACCTACCGCACCCGGTTGAACCTGGCGGTACCGACCACGTCCCAACAGTACCATACCGAACCACAGGTATCGCTTATGTCATCGATGACGTATTTTGGAGACTAGCAAAGTTACGTAGTCTGCTGTTTTGTTGACTCAGACCCAAGATCCTCGAATAGGGACTTGTGGACAGTGTCAAGAAGACAGCCAGTCCCCCGGGGGCCTTCACGCACACATGCAAGTCAGAACTACCGGAGTGTTACTCCGCTGGTCTCCTCTGTCGGCGACCATGAACCGTCAATCCTGCATTCGTGGTCGCTGCTCCGACTCCCTTGCAATCGTCTTCCTGACCGTCTTCGCCTTGCCCTCCCTCTTTCCAAGCTTGGGCGCGGCAGCGTAGGGCAGGAAGCGGCGCCAGGCACCATGGTGAAGTTTCTGAAGCCCAGCAAGGTTGTGGTCCTCCTGCAGGGCAGGTATGCCGGGAGGAAGGCAGTCATCGTCAAGAATTTTGACGATGGCACGCAGGGCAGGCCGTATGGGCACGCACTAGTTGCCGGGATTGCAAAGTACCCCAGGAAGGTGAGTGGGCTTCTGCAATACAGGAGGGAGCACTTGCTGGTTTCTGTGGAGCTCCGGTTGGTACTTACCACGATCGGCACCATAAAGAGCTGACGTTGAGCAGATAATCGAAACCCTATCTGATTGTTTAAGGCACAACAAACTGTAATCTACCGATCAGACGGTAATGGTGCAGCAGCATCTTATGCGTCTTCTTTTGTAGTGCAAAGCTATGTTCTATCTGGAAACTGTCAGCAAAACCTCAAATGGTAATGGTAGAGGCTAGGCGCCTGCTGGTCTTTGGTGTTCTGGCAATCAGTACTGAGGAAAAGCACTCATGCCACAGTTACTATGTGGCAGTCAATTCGGCTGGATAGTTGAGGGGGCGGGCAGCGAGGTGGATTTGTCATTGCAGCAGCTTCTGAGCAAGCTGAATAGGTTTTCAGTCATTCCGACCCGGTGCTCTTGATAATGGTACTCATGTTGCCCGGTGATTTAGTGGCCCGTTGACCAAGCACGCGTATTGGAAGCCCGTTAGTCAGCAAACTTTTGACCTCTCATTGTGCGAACCTCGTCAGACTTTGTATGTGCAAATTCCGTTAGAGATGATCCTGGATCGCTTGCTTTATCATGTTTAATAGGCTTCGTCGTCTCACTTCTGCGGTTTATGTGACTGGTTTTCCTCGGTGATTCCGAGCTTCAAGAGCTACCCTCAGCAGGGACTCCCTTATTGGCCTGGAAGAAAAGTGCCCAGAAATGATGCATCTAGTTGCTCTCAGCACGGGACAGCATGGGAACAAACTCATCCCACTTGTGGAGGTGCAAAACCATTTAGGGAGAAGAATACTGTGGCCATTGTTTTTAATCAGTCAAGGCTTTGCATCAATAGGAAGAGTACGGGGGATTGAAAAGAAGCAAACCGACAAAAAGAAGGAAGTTGATACCGGGATCTTTTGGCACCGGCAGGTCATCAAGAAGTCCTCCGCAAAGACCATTGCTCGGCGGTCACGGCTCAAGGCCTTCATCAAGGTCGTCAACTACAACCACATCATGCCCACCAGGTGAGGGGTTAAGCTTCTCGTTGTCAGATTAAACCCAAGGTTTGCAGAAGCCTACTTTGGCGTATAGCTATCCGGTTTACACAAGCCTAACCCATCTCGAACCCGTCTTTGGCACCCTGATTGTTGTTCTCAAGTTGACCACCTTGAACATAGTTCGGGGCGGTCAAGCAGACACATGGTTCGGTTAGAAGAAAGGGATATGACTTGAGTCAGGTAGTCATTATTGAACTCAGACTTCAGGGTTCCGTAGGCAGAGGTGGGTGCCAAATTGTGGTGACAGCATTCGAAGTTGTGCAGCGGGAAATGAGGCAGCTGCCCGTGTTTAAAAACCTCACCTTGCCGAACTGGTGAAGCTCGACACAACCATACAGGGACCTTAGAAATGTGTCTCCAGAGAAGAGAGGCTTGAAAGGACTTCTTTATCAAAGTAAGACTGAGAGACAAGCTTCAATTCTGGGCCGGCCGAGCTACATGATCGAAGCATTACAAGACTACCGTGATTCTCATCCAGTGGCATACATTACCCTGGATGGGGCCGCCAGTCTCCAAGATTCAATTTGAACAATCTGGCACCAAGCATGCCTGCAAAGCTGTAGTGTTAGCCCTGGTCCCACTTTCTGAGGACCATTTGAAGCACATTCTGAGGGATGCACTTAGCAAGGGGAGGTTGGAAGGGGTCAGGAGTTCGCTCTTAGCCAAGTCGGGGTCGGGATTCAGAACAAAACATGGCGAAAGATTGAGATTCTGGTTGGAATGGTCAGGACAGGCTTGAGGCTGACGCGGTTTTGGACTTGTAACCTCTTACACAGATACACCCTCGACGTGAACCTGAAGGAGACTGTCACTGCAGAGAAGATCGAAGCCAAGCCAAAGAAGGTCGACGCACTTAAGGTAAGGCCTGCCGCTCTTACTGTGAATGATTCTGCTTTGCCCTGCAGGTCCTTTCTGAGTAGGTCAGAGTAGGTGAATCCTGGGCGGCCGATCTCGTCCTGCTCCGAAAGTGGCTGGCCCTACCACAAAGTTAAAGATTAGGCACAAGAGAAACTGGGCGGTTATGGTCTTGAGGCGTAAAAACGTCTCTTCTCATATTGAGCCCAGGGTCCACTTAGATTGTGGGCCTTTTGATACAGAAAGTGACTGGACGGTGCTGCATGCGGCCAATCTCTGTAGCCTGTTCAGCACGTGGTCCACAAAACGGTCCTTGAGATGGATTGCAAAAGAGACGCGATAGCTGGGTTGACTTTGCGGAAGAGAAAGACCGGTTGTCTCATGCTGGTAACCAGCGTGGTAAGGTGTGAGTTGTGTTTTTATTTGTCTCAGTGGTTTGTTTGTTCATTCGTGGCGTACTATTCTGTGGACCTCCTCAAACTGACACCTTCTCTGGTCTTTCTTTCGCAGGAAACGAAAAAGGTCTTCGAGGAGAGATTCAAGACAGGAAAGAACAGATGGTTCTTCACCAAGTTGCGATTCTAAATGACCATAAATTTTAAGTACGTGAGGGGACTCATTTTCGGACCACCACCCGCTCAAGTCGTATTCAGTGCTTCTCTCGTCTTTGTTGCTGGCATGTCGTGCGATTTGTGAGTGAGGGTCTCCTGATCAAGCTGGTGATTCGGCCACTGCTATGCAACCCCAATTTCGTTCCGTCTCCTAGTGGAGCTTGTACATGGGCATCATGCACAAACCCCTCTACATGCTGGCGGTTTGGGCAGCTTCTGGCCATACTGACGCAAGTATATACAATGTCCAGATCGTAGAAATTGCAGCAACCGCCGAATCAGTCTGAACACGAGACGTACAACTCGCATCTTGGGTTACCAAAGTTTTCATAGAACTTGCACATCATTGCACATGAGGGTCCGCCCTTCCTCTGCAGAGAGGTTTCGAGATCTAGCTATCGCTATGTATGCACTTGCATGAGCGTGCATCATTGACATGTTCAGAGAATCACACCGCTACTATTAGTCAGGCCCCCCCTGTCACCCCAAACCAATGCATGCCAGCCCAATCGTGTAAGCATAAACCGTTTACTAAGCAGCATGCGAGTCTGAAATTTTGCGCAGATTGTTGTACGCGGCTAAGTCAATTAGGACAACTTGCTACATGGTGCACATGAAGTAAACATTGCAGGTGCAAAAAGCGGGCATATTCATATGGATATTGCGCGGTTCGTCTGCATGAGGTACATGTATGCATCAACACGAATGCTGAATTAAGTTGAGCAGTAATTTGGACCGCCCGCATATAGCTCCATACGTAGAAGCTTTCAGCTACATGTGCACATGCAGAAATCGCTATGACTGTGAACATGTACACATCTCGACACACAGAAGAAAGTCAAGTTTTTAGATCCAATCTTGCCATCCAGAGATATGTACCGGCCCTTGCAGATAAAATCGACTGTGAGCTATAAAACACCTCAACAAAACAAGTGTGCATGCTTCCGATGCTCTTGGCGAAGACAAACAAAGGCTGATGAGTAACTATAATGCGTCAAATGAGTGGACAAGAATAATCTTCAAGTTAGTCTCTTTATAAAGAGATTGCGTGTTTTATCAGCACAGCTTGCTTAATGTACACAGCGTCTGGTCTCATGTCAGGTCTTCCCAGTTACTTAGTGTTTCTTGAATTTGAAATAGAGGATGAGGATTATGGCAAAAACGAGCGCCGCAATAATACCGTACATGATGATCTTGTTGGTCCGGATCCTTTGGGCCATTCTGTTCAAGATCTGCCTGCTCTTTCCAATATTGTCGTCAACACCATGGAGCTGCAAAGCAAGGGGAAAACGCATCAGAAGCAAGACAAGAAAGCGCCGCCCAATAACTACGATATCCGATATCGTGTCCAAGCGAAACGACCAAAAGGGGCAGCCTTCGTCATGCGCTGAGATAAAATACACCTATAACGAAGTACCACCTCAAACTACTCATCCTCCAAAATTGAGTACTGAAGATATATCCTTAGGCTTGTCGGCGTCTGCCAATCAGCGCAGAAAGAACCATTGTCGACGCTCAACTAATCTAACGTACTTGTCTCAAGGAAAGGCACCCCAGGAAAGGATGCCAGTGCGCTCATGACGTAGACGTTCTAAGCAGCCCTATGCAGACTACGAAGCTTCCTAAAAGACCTGGCAGATTCGAAAAGATACACAGCACAATCTGTTAGTGACCTGCGAAATTACCCTTTCAAATCGGCCCGCCAGCGGAGAATTTTGTACTCACCGTCCCGCGCGCATGCAGGAGCGTCTCCCGTTGTTGTGAGAGGCTGCCCAGAATCTGTGCTCCAATGTCCTCGGTCTCTATCGCCACCCGCTTGCTCTCCTTGATCCGCTCTCCCGACTGGTTCAACCGGTCAGTCGTCTGCAGCAACCGGTTCCTCTGGTCCGCAGAGACCGACTGCACGAGGGATCGGAAACATTCACGATCATGAAACCTTCACGACAATACTACCAACGTCTGCATGCAGGAATGTGGAGAAGCATTCAGATGGTTACAGTTGAGGCTTCGAATTGGTCGGTTGCCAACTGATTGCCGATCCAAAGATGATTATACCAACGAGGGTTCAAATACTTCAAAGTGCAGGCTACCCAGCAACTTCACTATATGTGCGCGGCTTGAACCTGTGTAATCTGCACATCGCACGTCGAGTACTCTGATAGGTCGAGAAGAACCCAGCAGAACCCGTTCGACCAGACACACGAGGAAGACATCTAGCATTGCTTCGCCGGTGTGGTTGTGAGCCCATGTGGCAACCTCACTGGAGCTTGGAGTCAACATAAGAACTGGAAAACGAGCCAGACGTTCATAAGGGTTGGCCGAAGAGGGCCAAGAAACGAGCCACCGAGGTTGATCGGTTTGACATGTGTACTGAACTGCCAAAACTCGATTTGACTGTACGCAACCGTTTTGATTAGCCATCTTGGATCGACAATCTCCGTGGATTCAACTCTTCAAAATCACGGTTCAGGCAAGCAAACTCAATTTTTCGGCTGTGTCTACAGACGGATTCATCAGTCGTCTCAGATCGAACATCTCCTAAAAATCGCTCTCAAATATCACAAATCAGCCAATCAAACATACACACATAATTCAAAGACAAGCCCGCAAAACCAGCACCTAACACCAAAGCTCCAGAGTCCCTCTGAAATCACATCCAAGCAAGCTGATCTTACACAAAAGCCAGCCTCTTCAAGTGGTCAATGAAATAGCGCTTCCGCTTGTCAATCGCAGAAGAGAAGGCCGTAACACAGAAAAAGGTGGGAAGTAGGAAGTCTCGAAGGAACGAAACTTCACAGGCGTTTTGGGTAACCTGCTCGAATTGCCGACATTCAAAGCCGAACGCGCTAAGCTCTGCAGTTCTGATTGCATACAGACCTTGAAAGAAAATATCACAGTTGGCTTGCCACCAGAACACTTCCAACATCATGCCCATCTTAACGAATGATGGGGAGAGGGTGATATTAAGGATCCTCGAAGGAACGGCAAACCAAGGCGGAAACTTACCCCCAGGGGTTCTCCCAACCCCCTCTCCATCAGCTCCTGCCTGGCCGCCACCTCATCCGGCAGCGCAGCGCTCGCCTTCTTCGCCTCTTTCTTGACGTTATTGAGGCCTGCTTTGTACTCAGCCAGCTTGGACTTCAGGGTGACCAGCTCCGCCTTGGAGAAGCTCCGTGCCTCCAAGTCCATCTTCCGGATCTGTAGCATTTCATCAAATTCCTTTAGGGAGAGCCCTTGAAGATGCAATTTGAATGCGTGAGAATCAGAATCCAATGAGCGCCTGGAGGTATTAGTCCAATGACATGCACAGGGCTGAGCCTTGAAGATCTTCAAAGTTCGCCTTGTCGAACCTGGATGAGCTGGAGGCAACAAATACCTGATACATGTGGGCGGTGGAAACTACCTAGCCAGGACCCAGATCCTTCACTTCCGACATGGCAAGCAGCAACTGAGTGATGTTTGAGTATCAATCAATCAGACCCACAATCATGCCAACACTTGGAAGCTCTTCGTGCCAGCGTGCACTTATTGTTCCGCAGGTTAGCATGCGTCCGCTGAACAACGGAAGCCCCCGTAGTGCTCTCATGCTCATTTGACCATTGCTTTGTCGATGTGTTGGTTAGCTCCAGCTGAGATGGTGATATAACAGGCTGTTTTGCTGGACGACAAACGGACATGCTAGTCTTCAAACTACGAGCTACTCGATGCATGTCAAGCATACAGAATTCTGCTACCACGAAGTTTGGATGTTTGTAATACACTCCAAACTTACCAGAGCCTCTGACTCATCAATCCCCTGCTGCAACTCCTTCAGTTTCTGCTTCTTCTGCTCTGCAAGGTGCAAGAACATGCACCTCAAACATGATCCAGGACAATGCTGACGTGTCCGGTCCAACACTGATGTAAGGCTACAATACTGGCCCGGCTTTTTCTCTCAAAACCCACAAACTTTTCATCACAAAAACCCCAACATTGAGCATCCACCGAGCAAAAACGAATGTCACGTAATAAAATTGATGGCTTCGAAACATGGTTCACCAATTACACGGACAGGACTAACAATTTTAGCAGAACCCTAAACTCGACTTACATTAACTCTTGAATGAGGCGACCATGTCATCGACCAGACAGCCCCGTCGATGCAAACACCTTATACAGCAGACGTGCACTCACCTACAATTGACCAACTTATGCCAAAAGAAGGGGCCTGACAAAAGCGTCCGCATCAGCAGGAAAACGTGTTTACATTCCCTCTTCAATCTGAGGGCAGTACTCCTGTCGATTCAATGTTGCCCTCCGATCAGATTGTACTCACCTCCAGATAAAAGAGAAACATTCTCCACTTTCCTCTTTAAGCTGGCTAGCAACTCCGTGTATTGCCTCTCATAACTCTGGAACATGTTCTCCCCCATCTTTGCTTGCTACTTTACTGCGCCTGCGACTCTAGGCTCGTGACCTCAATGAAAAGTTCACGCTGTGCAAAGCAGCCGCTCTTACAAACACACTGAAGGGAGAAGGACAAAGGATTATCCTTGGTCTGTATGTCCGCTTAATTTCCTCACTTGCGATCCCCCTCCTAGCCGCAATCTCCACAAATCGATGACCAAAGGCAACCCTAAAATTCTCCATTCATGAAGAGAAGGCTCGGCCTTCAATCCGGGCAACTTTCTGGTTGCGTGCCGCCTCAGGCTGTTACATATCGGAGCTTGTGGTCTTTGACACCAGAATTGCAGCCTAACGACAACGTTAGAGGCGGACGCGCTTTGTCGCGTAGGTTTGTCTAACCAGTACGTCATTTGCCCCCTTAACGTGGATTATTTTGGTGAACTCTTTTGCCATCTACTTTCGACGGCATAGCCAGATAAAAATAGTGTTAAGGAACCTCCCCGCGCGGGAAAAGCTTAGACTGCACACTGCAACTTCAAGTTCAAGTCACGTTCCAAGTTCAGCCCTGCAACAATTTCATCATTTGAGCTTCACTTTCTCGGCAAATAGGGCGCACAAGTGGCGGCTATACACCAACAGCCTGGACTTGCAGGTCAAGGGCAAGGGATCAACGAAGGCTCCCTTTGAGGGTAGGCGACTTGCGTTGTCCACTTTCAAGAAAGACATTAGCGTTTGCACAGAGCGCTGTGGAATCAGGTCCAGCAAGTGGTCCCCAAAGGAGCGCCTGTCCAGAGGAGCGGTGTACTGTCTTCCTTGGATAGGCGCTCTCCGCGAGCGAAGTTCGTTCAATTTTCTGATAAAGAAATAAGGTACACGTCAGGTTTTACCAATAGCATTGGGCCCCAGGGGCCAGCTCCGAGGGGCGGGGTGGGCTGGGACGACTTCTTGCAAAATGAAGATGGTAATATGCTGATATGATGCAGGAAGGTTGCATCCCCAAGGTTTTGAGGTGAGATATATCTGCTGACTTTCTGGTTTTGAGAAGGACTTGGATGCAGAGATGCAGAGTGTTCCCTCTCCTATCACTGTGCACCTGGTCGTGCTACAGGCGAAGAGCAGCATCGTGTTCCTGGGGAGAGGTTCATGTCCTTTTCCTGTCTGTTTGAAGGGCGTGGTCTTGCAAATTGTTAACAATGGAAAGGCGCAAGGTGCATCATGCTGCTGTTTTTGTGCAGTTTCTTGATGGGACTGTTTGCCGTTCTGCTCGTGTACCTTCTCTGAGCACACTCTAAGTTGCAGCAAATGGCTTTCCTGGTGGTTTGTTTACGAGCACGATTTGATTACCGGGTCTCAAGCTTTGCCGCTGGTTTCGGGTCCACTTTACCATCATGTTTTCAACTGGTAGAGTTCTGAGCAAGCACAGGTGGTTCTTTGTTGTGTGCTTTAGGTACCCTTATTACCTCTGCACTTTGGTCAGAGTTAGGGTTCAGCACTACCTTGCCCCATGGTTTGAGAGTCTGGCGGTAATAAGTTCATCGCTTACCGCAGTCGCTATCAAAGTAGAAGAACTCTTCATAAGCTCATACATCCATTTTGTAGGCTTTGCGAGCACTTTGGTTTCATTGGCGTAGTGCTCAGAGCGGACCAGGGAATAGTCTTATTTATGTTGCAGGAGATGCGTCATGCTTGTGCCTTCGATTGGTTTGTAGTGACATTTTGGTGGCGTGTGATACGTCCATATATCTTTGCACTAGGTTGCTCTTGCCCAATCAGCTCATTCAAGTGATTTTACGGTTTAAATAAAAGTAGTTCATTGGCAGGCAGTTCTTTTAGCTGTTGATTAACCATCTTTTGCTATGTTTTGCAGCATCTGTCCACGGTGACGGCAAGCCCCGCCTGCTCCTCAGCTCGTCTCCTTCTTTACAACCACACGACTGCGCTTCTAAGTGGTATGACCATGGATGAAGCAAGGCACAGGAAACTTGCCAAGGGCTACGCCTACGAGCCAATGTCAGGCCCCGTTGCCACGAGCGGCTATCCAGACTTCGAAGGCAAACGGCAGCGGCAGCACTCTGCCAAGTATTCAGACGAGATGGTTCCGACGCCTCGTTCAAGCCAGGGTCAGTGGGACGCGCGCGGGGTAAAGCGCAAGGCTGAGCATGCAAATGGGGGGGCCCACTGGCAGGAGGGGGGCAGGGGGGAGTATGTGGATGAAGACGTGAAGGCCGCAAAGAAGAAGGCCAAGAAGGAAGCCCTCATGCGGCAGTTGGCGGAGCTGCAGACGGCTAAGGCAACGCTTCGTCAGCGGGAGCAAGTGTTGCTGAGCGGTGGGTCTGCAAGGGACGACGAGTCGCGGGACGCTTGGCCGCAGAACGGGGGTGCGGCGCCCAGGCCGATGCACCCCCCCCAGCAGCCGCAGCTGTCGCGGCAGGCGTCAGACGGCAAGGAGAAGCGGACGCCGAAAGCCAACGTGCTCTATGCAAATGAGTACGTGTCGGCACCGACTGGGCAGGACCACTTAGCAGCCCACGCGTTGAGCAAGGGGGGATCGAACGGGAAGGCGGCGAAGCGGCCAGCCGGGGGGGATGCGCGTGCCGAGAAGATTGAAAAGGAGCGGGTGAAGCGGCGGGCGGCGATCTGGAAGAAGATCCTGGTGATGCACAACAGGAAGCTGATGGGGGACCGCCTGAACTCGTGGTATTTTGCGGAGCCGGTCGACCCGGTACAGCTCAATATCCCAGACTACTTTACCGTGATCAAGCACCCGATGGACCTGGGGACGATCCGGAAGAAGCTGCAGCGGGAGCAGTACGCGAGCTTCGAGCAGTACGCGGCAGACGTGCGCCTGACGTTCCGCAACGCGATGACGTTCAACGGGCCCGAGAACAACGTGCACAAGGCGGCAAAGTTCCTGCTGCACGAGTGCTTTGATCAGCAATGGTGGCCCCCCATCATGCGAGACATTCAGCAGGACCGTGAGCAGACCAGGATCGAGGAGGAGGCGTTAGCTGAGGCCGAGTGGCAGGCCCCAAAAGTTCCGAAGGCCCCCCCGGCTGCGAAGAAGGCGCCCAAGGCCGCGAAGGCCCCCTCCGCAGCGCCGGCGTCGAGCAAGCAGAGCGGCGGGGGGTACGCGCAGCAGGTGCACAGGCCCCCCCCGCCGAAGCCGAAGGTCAAGCCGATGTCGATGGAGGAGAAGCGGGACCTGAGCATCGCGCTGAGCGACATGGGGGCGGATCTGCTGACGGGGATCGTGGAGATCATCAAGGAGCGGCACGCGGAGCTCATGTCGAACGACGAGGAGCTCGAGCTCGACATTGATGCGCTGGATGATATCACGCTGTGGGCGCTGAAGCGGTATGTCGAAGAGAAGCAGGGGGAGGAGGCGGAGTCGCGGCCACCAGCGCAGGTGAGCTGCTCTTCCAACCATGTGACAGCATTTCTTGTTTAGTAGTGGGTTCACCAGCAGAAATGCTCTTCATGGAGCTCTTAAGCCATGTTTTCACCTCATTTGGGTCGATATTTGTTCTGAGGTTCAGGGGGTGGGTTCTGGAGCAATTTGCAGGCAGTTGGAAGAGTCCCATTGGGGCTTGTCGAGGGGTTCTTGTGGAGGACCTTTACTTGAAAACGTTCAAGGCAGGGGCCCCAGGTCTTCGCCTCCTAGGCGTGCAGATGAGTCTCCAGGCTCCTTTTCAAGCTCTACCCTTTCCAGGCTCTACCCCCTACTAGAGTGAATCATCTGCACTTCTTGATCCCCTTACTGTTTGATATCATAATATCCTCATTCTTCACCCGTTCATCTCTTGTGCTTCTCTCTGCTTTGGTTCTCTGTGTGATTATCCCTCCAGTTTGAACGGTTTTCAGCTTTCACACATCTTTTTTTCTTGTTACTCCTCCTCCTTACCCCCCCAAATCTGAACGGTTCTTCTGTATATCTCACATCGTTATGTTTGTTTCTCTGTGTTCTATCCCCTCAAGTCTGAAGGATTCTCTGATTTTTCACCCCTTCGTTTTTGTTCCTCCTTCTTATTCCCCCAAGACTGCAAGGTTCCGATTTCCACCTCTTATTTTTCATCCTCCGTCCCCTTATACCCCAAATTCTGAATGGTCTCTTCTTTTTCATTCAGGAGGGCGACGGTTCCACCAACCACGACCGGGAGCCCATCACGCCCGCAGGGGGGTCCTCTGAGGAGGTGCCCTCGAAGCAGAAGAAGGCAAAGGGCCAGAAGTCGAGCTCCACCAGCTCTAGCAGTGGCTCCGAGTCGTCGGGCAGCGGTGAGTTCGCAGAGCTGAGATGCGAACTTTGGAGAGCTGAGGTTCTCGTTTGCTGACCAGTGGCGCCAGCATTTTTGTAATCACACATGGGACTAGTCGTCGGGAGAAGCAGTGGAGACTGTGCGCAAAAAGTGTGCATTCGATCTTCCCTAAAGTACCAGCATCTGACTGACATTTGTCAGCATCTGAGTAAAAAAAGACGACTTTTGTCAGCATCTGAGTGTACAAAGATAGGCGCAGGGAGGCAAGAAATAAGGAAACAAAGAACTCGGTTTTGAAGACCAAGCGTCTTGTGATGGCTTAAGGCCGTTGGTAACATCGGCACAATGGGATGTCTTGAACCTGCGTTCGTTGGAGAGGCAGCTCTTCCATTTGGATTGAAGCCGAATGGTCAAAAGTTACTGCCCCTTTCAAGTCATGGTTGACTTGGGAATGTGGATCCCGATCGTGCTACCTTTTTGCACGGCATAAAAGAAGCGCAGAAGCAAAGACCCTGCTTATGGCTATTGGTATGCTGCTTTCTGCATCTGATGAAAGGAGCGCAGAAGCAAAGCGGAAGCAAGTCAAGTCCTTGGTTTGGCCATGGTCAGGACGCCGTACTGGAATTTCTGCTGAGCTTCTCGTCAGTGCCTTTTGATTAGCAACTCACAGCGGTTCCACATGTTTTCGCAGGCTCCTCTGGGAACTCCTCAGGTTCTGGCAGCGAGTCAGAGGCTGACGAGACCAAGCAGAAGGTGCGTGCAAGCTAGCTCCTAGCTTGCTCGTGCCGTTTGCTGATACCTAGGAAATAGCTAGCGCATCGAGGTTAGAGGTCTCAGGGTGCTAACATCTAGTATGTCCTCTAAAGGCCTTCGCTTGTGTTTCGCATCCGGTCAAGTCGTCCAAAAAAGACATTGTAAAGTAGCGGCTGGAGAGGGGCTTTCTGTAATAGAAAGTGGCCCCGTATCTGATTATCGAGTTTCACGTTTCGGAAAGCTTTTTAAAGCACCAAGCTTTATTGTGCTGCTATGCGAAGCAAAGGATTGCACAGGACCGCACAGGACCGCAACTCACACTGCGAGTGATCCTCCAATCAGCTCTCTCCGTGTCTCGGCACGTCGTATGGACATAGAGGGCTTTCTCAGAAGCCCTCAGAAACTCTCGACTTAATGTTGACTGGTCAACAAACAGCGAGGCTGAAAAGTCGCTCGTTGTCTTCCTGCCCAGAAGGCTGCCGGTTCGGGTGACCGCCGGGGGGGCCCTCCTGCCAGCGCCAAGTCCCCGGGCAAGGCGCCAAAACGTGCGTAACTGAGGGTGTCCCCTCAAGCCTCTTTCTACTTGCTGCTTTTGTGAATGCTCAATAGCTTTTGGACCTGATCTCGACGTTTGAGAACGTTTTTCTCAAGAGGTGTTGCGTTTTCGAACGTGTCAGCCGAGTGTTGTATCAAAACAGGTCCAAATTTGCATGAAGCGTTTCATAGAAAGCGCGAGCGTCGTTGAGGGGAAATGTTTGCACCAGAGTCTTGCCACGGAGAGCTTGCGAGAACATTTCGCCTTCTCCTAGTCAATCTACTGGCCCCAGGTAACTCAGCGGCGTAATGCATGCCTGACAAAGTCGCTGACTGCCCAGGCTGACTGCAAACAATCAGATTTGCCTACATGTATCTGGTCTTACCAACGACCGACTTGGTTGCTCTGCTCGTGAGAGGAGACCCTGAGATTTAGGCCGTGTTTTATTTGACATGGAAGCACTATCTATACAGCTTGAAGCACTTCGCATCCCGTCGGTTTAAGAAGGCGAACGGTCTCAAAGGAGTGGAGCTTCGAAAGCTTCTGATGCAGGAGATCCAGAAGGAAATTGGCGGAAAGTTGTTGGAGACAACAGCATTACCCACAAAGGGAAGTGGCCAAAAGCTGTTGAGCGCTTGTCCGCTTATTCCACTTTCTGAGTCTCAGAAGACAGCGTTCGGTTCTTATTTGTTAAACCGTACCGTTTGCAGAGGGCGAGAGGGGCCAGCCTGCCAGCGGCAGTAAAGCGCAGCTGCCCCTGGCCCCAGCCCCCGCAGCGCCTGAGGCCATCCCTGAGGCCATTCCCGAGGCCATTCCGGAGGTAGAAATGACAGGTAGGTTGAGCGCCAAGGGAAGCGCTCCTGAATCACAAAGATCTCTGGAGCTTGTGACACTCACTCTCTGGAAGGTTCCATTAAAAAGGCGCGCTTCTGGGGAGAATGGAATAGAGCAGACGTTCAGTCTGCGAGCCCTGCTTACCTGAAGAAACCTTTGGGATATTCCCGCTCCTGATGTTGTGGGAACGCCTTTCGAAGCACCGTTTGATCTCAAAGTTTCTGGATCCTGATCTGGTTGGTTTCGATGCTGCCTGTGGTTTGACCAAGATCGTCATTGTCAAGTCTGTTGAAACTGACAGGCCCAGACTGCGTCACCCAGAATCGACTCCAGAAGTCAAGCGACCTGGAGTTTGGGCTCTTTTCGGGTTCTTATTAAAATGAGGCCATTCCTTCGAAAGCGCACAACCCTCTGGTAGCCGGCCAAAGACCGAGAATATGTGCGTCACAGCGAGCAAACGACCTCCGTGCAAGCATGAAGAAGAATGACGAACGACGAACCAGAATGTTTCAATGCATGTTCGAGGACAGGCGATCACCTCTTAAGAGTTCTGAGCCAGGTTCGCCTGCCTCTTACAGAGGAACAGCGCGAGAAGCACCGGCGAGCGCTGGAGCTCCGGGCCAAGTACACTGACACTATCATCCAGGCGCGCACCTCCGACCTAGGGCCAAAAGCGCCAGTGTCAAGGGTGGGTGCTTTGAAGGGGCCGATGACTTGGCCATGTTTGCTCAACGTATGTACTGCTGAGTGCTTGATCAGAAAGCTTCGCTCAAAGCACAGCTGGTAAAGTCCCTTTTGTGTCGACTGCACAACCTGGTGCGGGTAAGGGTTCCGGATCTGCGAGGTCTCAGGTCCTCAAGCGGCTGACAGCAGTCGAAGGAAAGGTTGACAAGAAAGGTTCAAGAAAAGTTCGTCACGATATTATGCGAAGCGCTTGCAATTGGTCGTCATCAGAAGAGTGAGTCGTTCTGAGACTGTGTCGATGCCTCTCCTAGTCCTTCTACTGAGAATTCAACTCGCCGATCCTTGATACATGACCACAGATTGGCATGAATCATGTGCGAGTCCCGCAAAGAGTTTTCTACTACCATCGGTCAATCTCCGTTGGGCAGTCTGCATGCTAAATGACGTCAACATGGCCCCTAGATTGGCAGCTTCGTTAGGTCGAAAATGGTAGGCACTCTGAATCACATCGATGCAATACGCCCCATTGTCGTGAGGAACCCACAACTCACGATCAGCTCTTTGCAGCAAGGACTTCTTTATCTTTCAGGTGCAGCGCTGTTAGGATCAGCAGGCGCACCAGTTCACGGAATGTGATTTGGTAGAGAGCAAACCCAAAATACTCTCTTCTGAATAAACCGCCGATTTCTTGACCTCGTACCTCTCCCGCCCTTCCACAGAGCGCTGAGGAGATCCGCCGAGCGCAGGAAGAGCGGCGGCAGCGCGAGCTCGCGGAGGCGGCGCGCATCCGGAAGGAGGCCGAGGTGGCGCGGGCCGCCGAGCGCCGTGCTCGGGAGGCGGCGGCGGCAGAGGAGAAGAAGAAGATTGAGCAGCAGAGGGAGGCGGAGAGGCTGCGGCTACAGCAGGTGAGGGGATAAAGGCCGGGTATCGTGGCCGTGTTTTGTTGTGCTTAGGACTGTGGTTGCGGTCCGTTCATGAAACAAGTCATGATTGTGGCTTTGCGGATGTCCATCAGGTGCTGCTGTTTACACTTTGGAACAAGTTCGCGGTGCAACGGGAAGCCTGAACGGCGATATTTTGGCATTCGTCAATGGAGGAAATGCTCACGGGTCAGATCTGCACACTGGCAGACAAGCCGGCGTTCAAATCCAGTCGCTTTGAACCTTTGCCATCAGCAAAGGCGTGTTGTACTCCAAGCTTCAGGAGCGCTATGTACGGATTCCAGGCAACCTTCAGAAGTCAATTGGTCAACGGTATGGGTATTGGCAGGTCTTGCGTTGAAATGACCCTTTTGTAAGAGGTCAGCTCCTCGAGCCCTGCGTTGCCTTCTCGATTTTCAGGCCCTATCATCCCTCCTCTTCTTTGCAGTTCAACCGCGGCGTCGAGCTGGACAGCCACGACATCGAGAAGGAGTACCAGAAGATCAAGACGCTGTCCCCCCAGGACGAGAGCCGCAGCCGCAGCCCCCACCTTTCGCCACCCTCCCCCGAGGCAGAGGCCGAGGAAGACAGCCCCGGGGGGGTGATGGAACAACTGGGCCTGGTCATACGTCACGATGACGACGAGGCCACAGATGACGAGTATGATGACGAGGAAGAAGAAGCGAACGGGGCCACGGAGAAGGACAGCGAGGGGGAGGAGGATGCCGCGATGGAAGAGGGCGCGGGGGGTGCGCAGGCAGAGGAGGGCGAGATGGAAGACGGGGAGATTTGAGCGGGGGTGAGATGCTCGGGGCTCAAGGTTGAGAAGTGTAGGCAACGATCCGGGGTCGGTCTTTCAGTATGCCCGTTTGTTACTATGCGGTACAGTAGCTAGAGACGTATGGAGGTCTCGTTGAAGTGCTCGAGTGTTCGGTCTCGGGGTTTGGTTTCCAGCAACGCGGCCGCGCAAATGCGGTTTTGTTGTGCCGGCCGTCAATATCTTCAGAAAAATATAAACAAAAATGTCGTGAAGTCGTCGTGGGCGAGAGTAATTAGCTAAATCTCAGCCTACCTATTGTGGTCTATAACATGCAGGGTAGCGGGTTGGCAGAATTTGTCAGTATGTCACCTCCTAGGATACGTACCTGGGAATCAACTTTTTGATTTGATCATGCATCTAATTCGAATCTGTGGCCTACTGGCTGTATTTAAAATGAAGTCCTTTGAATCAGAACTTGAAGTGCGATGATGTGATCCAACCCCGAATTATTTGTGAACTGCAGCTTGGCGGGCGCTGTCGTTATGTTGCAGTGTTGATATCCGCGACTGTGATGATTGTTTAATGTATCCAGCCCCGATCGACATGATTGAATGGTAAATCATGGCGGCCTGCCCAGCGCCATGGATCGTACACGTTGATTTGCATGATATACATTATAGCCAGGAGTTCACGCATGGCCGGTTCGCGGTCCGGCATGATGAATTATTGACGATTTTGAAATTTGCACGCGGGCAGATTATACCAATACGAGCAGATTATTTAATATGCATATTGAGTCAACACTCGGATATTCCCGATTCAAGCTACTGCTGCATGATTTAAAAAGTTCTGATCGAAACTTGTGGGCACATACCGTACATGGCTGGCTACCGTACACGTTGCATATTAATCGGCCGCGCATGCAGCAGATTACAATATTACTCAAATATGTGCAAACATTCCATTTCGGCGAGCTTCCACTGGGTCAGTGCATTCTGCCGCGCAAACCGTACGTAGTCATAAGCTAGCTTTGAACGTACAAACGTGCAAACGACGCATGTGCACGTGACATACTGCTACCGTCGAACTTGATCATTTCATACTAATCCTTTTGCAACCAAAGCTTTGCCCGTGGCTGATCACCAGATTGATTCGCTTCCGCTTCGCGGTTTGTAAAGCTTGCTTCAAAGCTGCGCATCCAATCCGGAGGTTTCCCAGGGGATTGGTCACTCAAGGCAGAAGCTCCAGCATCCTTCAGACTACGCAACTCCCGGGTCAAAGTTCTGAAAGCAATCCGCTTGTTCGAACTTGCCTCTTGACTTTGATTTGCCTGTTGGTCCGTTCAGTCAACTTCAAAGACACGGTACCTGCTGGAATCTCTGATCGGGGTTATCTCTTGGAGGGTTCACTGGCTGGACCTGACTCTCTAACGATTCACTCTACCCATGCCGCTGGTTCCGATTGAACAACTTGCATGACGAACCAGCACTCTGCTAAAGTTTTTGGCGTGTTCACGTGCAGTACGGTCGCTGTTGCGTTGTCAGAAGCGCAATCACGTGGCTCAAATCGTGAGTCCTCTCGGAACATTCCTTGCACTCTGGACTGACCGACGGCTCGGTAACGATGCCTGCAACCAGGAAGAGACGACAAACTTCATTCATATGTGCAGCCCAACAATTCTGGCCCAAAAACTTCAAACTCGAACTTTAAGTATTTCGCAGCATATGTCCAGTATTGGAGAGCTCGGCAACCTCCGCGACTCGAGGCGTTTCATTCGAAGCGCCACTCGACCATAAATGATGGCCTCCTGATACGAAGACTATGTCTAAATGGGCGACCGGTATTCATCTAGTTTTGTCCCTTTCTGTTGAATGCGCGATAAAGCAGCCTTATTTCAGATTATCGTTGGCCATCCTGAGCTTTTAGATTCGATCACTTTGACATGGATGATAAATTTTTTGCTGACATTTGGCCCGCCTTTCCAGCTTTCTTATCCGGGGCGCTTCGGCAACTTCCCGCCCACCTTTGGAGTGCTCGAGCAACCGCCTGTGCCTGTGCTCGGCCGCGGCCGCCTGCTGTGCCTGACACGTGGCGCACGAGTCGGGCCGCGGGGTCTCGTACGCGCACACGTGGCCCTTCATCACGTCGTCCGTCATGCTCATCTCCCGGTCCCACCTGCGGACGTACGGCACAATCCTGAGCGCTTATAAAGGATCAGGGGAGACATTATGAGCAAGTACGTGTCGTGCAGACGTTCTCGAGGTGGCTCGTTCGCCTTCCCTTCTACCACTTTGCAAAGTCTTGCTGTTGCAGAGAAGATTGAAATGCAGACGTTGGAAACCTTCACCAAACCGTTGCCCACATGCGTGACGGGTCCTCGCTCGGACGACGCAGACCGCAGACAATAAGCGTAGCCAGATGTGAGCCAAGCTTGAATACTTAGATAGACGTCCGAAAGGCGGAGACAAAAATCTTGCGTTCCGCCCGCTCACCTGTCCCCGATGATGTAAGCAAGGCTGCTCTCGGCCTTCCACATCTTGAGGTTGCGCGCCTGCAAAGCGTGGCCGACGCTCGGAGCGCTGCAGAGCGGATTGGACCGTCAGATCCTCGCGAGAGAAGTTCGGCCGTCGAAAACGTTTTCTTTTTAATTGCGGCTTTATGCCATTCAGAGGGCGACGCTTGCCAGCAATGCGGCCATTGGCCGCTGAATAAACTCAGTTGAAAGTCGACAGAGGTGTTCTTTGGCGGGTGAGCGCTGACGCTAGGCCGTCATTTCTACGACCCCACCTCTGAAGCACTGCATATACAAAGCGACGAGCTAACCCCTAACCTCGGTTCCCTGACCCGTTGGGATGACTAGGAAGTGTTCCCACTGCGTATTTGCAACGCATGTGCCACGAAGCCGACCCACAATAACGATCGGACGGTCATGCTGACACCAGCTCTCCATCGGATCGGTGTGAATGAGCCTCCCTCACCTAAACGCGATGACCGGCATAGGCCCCGTCTCGGGTGACAGGTTGGAGGCCGAAACGAGCAACGCGAGCCCCGCTCCCATGCCGTGACCTGGCAGAAAGCGCACAATCCTGACGTCAGACAAGATCCTGCTAAAGTGTGCTCTGGAATTGGGCCGATCATAAGGTCGCAAAGTTCCGACAGTGACGTGGAAGCGTTCTGCAACCGGCTCTTGGCGTCAGAAGATGAGTGCGTGATCAGCTTCGCTCAGAACGTATCCCGCCCCATCAGCTCTCCTGTATCCCAACGAAGCAAGCCTACATATCCTAACAATTGACGGATAATCGAAGTCGAAAAGACCTGGTGACTACTCTGTCTTGTAGATCTCAGAAAAGATCGCCCCCAACCATACACAAAGGTGGGCCTTTTCGGGTTCTTTTTACAACCGCTTTACTTCTACAAAGATCCTTTTCATACTGGGTCAAACACGAACTCCCGAAGAGAAGAGCAAGTTCCACCTTGCGCTCTTCCGCAGTCCTGCAGAGACGAAGTTGAACGGGAAGTTAATCGACGGAAATGGAAACCGGGAGCATCGACTTTCAGATACTTACCGGTCAGTAGGATGGACGCCCCGGGGTAAGCTGCGAGCACGCTCCTGGTGTGGTCGATCGCCTGGGAGTAGTACCCCAGGGTGCGGTAGTTGAACTTCTCCTGGCACTCGAACGCGAAGTCGATGAAGTCGCTGCTCTTGGCGTTCTCGTAGCCGCCGTACCAGAGCAGGAAGTCCGCGCACCGGTCCGCAAGCCCGTCCAAAGTGTCCGCAGGATTTACCCCCCGGAACGCGATCACGACCTGGCGCGTGTTGTTGAAGTCAACATCCTGTTTGGAGAGGAATGAAATTGAGCTGAAAACAAGAAGACGTCGAAGATTGTGTTGAGCAGGCCATCAAAAGCGGGGAGTTTGAAGATTAATACTGGACCAACAAAGACACTGCTTTGGAAGAGTGCTCACTGAGCGCAGCAACCTTATTGGAAACCTCAGCATCTCGTGTGGTGGATCTCTAACTTCATGCGACTTCGAATCAATGCTGGGTTTTTTTAAATTTTGTGTACTCTTTGGAAGATCATTGGATGTAGGTCGCCGGCTGTTTGCAAACATGATGGCTGGGCAGTTCAATTGTGGTGCCATGGACAATTCTGACCAGAGTGGGTGCGCAATGAAGCCTTCATCGTTCAAATGCTACCAGATGTGCAGCTCAGTCTTTAGCAATCTTTTCCCATGATTTCAGCTGTCCCTCGATCCTCCCCTCACAGTCTCTTGGGTAACAATCCTTCAAGAGGGGGGACAGCATCCTTCTTCAGGGTCAGCAATGGAGAAGCTGTGCCAATCGCCAGCCCAAAACCTAAAGTCCAGAGTCACAGACTGCTATCAAGGACACGAGTAGTTTGACCAACCAACCCTTCTAGATGGCCACAACCAACATAAGTTGTCTGAAACCTAAAAGAGGCCCCCCTCAGAAACTCGACAATTATCTTCTTCCCGCCAGGGCAGGAGTTAAAGCTCCCACACGACTGATTTCAGAACACATGCCAGGCCCAAGCTGCCTGGAGCAGCATCCATTGAAGCTGCAGATGAGTTCCAAAGCTTTTTATACTTCCTTACAAAATCCTTAGGCCATGCTTTTTGAAAGCCTCTTACTCAACTCCAATCCATGCTGTATTGACATCCTCACTGCAAGTTCACTGCATGCTGCAATGACATCCTTACTGCAAATCCGGTCCATGTTACAATGCCATTCTTGCAGGGCTGCAAACTATCGAAGTGAGCAGCTTCTTGAGACAGACAATTGCTTGGCAGAAAGCAGCTGAACCAGTTTGCGCCCGCTCACCACATACGTCAAAGCGTGCATGCCCCCCTTCACCGAACCCACAAACCCAAGGGGATCCCCTGCCAGCTGCCACCCCGCTATTGGCTGCGCCCTTGGCCACGTCTGCGCATTCATCGTCATCTCTGCAAGCGGCCCAACAAATGCCTGGAACTCCGTTGTATTCACAATCATTAGATGGGAAATCGTGCGCCAGGTCTTCTGGGGGGCTCGGCTCTGGGCAACCACAGCCCCCTGGGTTGTGAAAAAGCACATGACCAGAGCGAAGCAGACGACTAGGATGACGCCAACTAGAATGGAGTGCCGGTGGTGGCGCCATTGCTTTTGGACGGTGTGCCAGGCCGCAGAAAAGACGTCCGAACGGACCGTAGATGGGTCCAAATCGTCCGAAGCGTCATCTGGGATGATGAGGGAGGCGCGCATGGAGTAGGGCCGGGAGGGAGAGCCGTATAACCCTGGATGCTCAGCCATGCTAGAGATATGAATTGCAGTAGACTGACTCTAAGAAGTAAACCCAAGAGTGCTGACTGATGCAGAGATGGTGGAAGCAGTCCACTATGAAGAACTTGTAGTCAGGTAGGAAATGCGCTTGCCCAACACCAATGAGGTGCTGCCAGTGCGCGGGCACCTTTGCTAAATTTGGAATGAAACGCAAGGCGCTCAAATGTCGGTGAGTTGCGTTCGCTCTGTTTCTGCTAGTGCCATATATTATGTGGATAAAATGCTCGATGGTGGTCTCCCTTCAGGTGCTTTCCAGGGCTTTTCAGGTGTCTCCGCAAGATGGTGATTTGCATTTCGACGAGCTTGCTGCTTTCCAGAAGCCCTCCCCATCTGCCAAAGCTTGAGCGCCTTGACATTGACATCAGGAGCAATGCCAGGGGCAACTGTCAACGCAGTCTACGGTGTGCGCGCACAGGACCCGTGAAATTTTAGCGGTACCTATTTGGGAGCTGTGCCGGTCGGGCCTTGAGCTACCGGGCAAATGCGTCCCGCCGTCTGCACTATACCTACCTATATTAGGCACAGCTTGAGACTTGAGTCGAGACCCTCAGAAAACCCATCGGAGACCACGGTACAATCAAGGTACCAGGTTTGTGTTTGTTCAAACAAAACTTGGGTACCGGACAGCTTCACTTCGTGGTGCACCTGGCAAGGACAAATCAGAACGTCAGAAGAGGAGGAGGAGGAGGAGGAGGAGGAGGAGGGGCGCTTTCGCTGTTGACAAGGGAGGAGAGAGAGGCTCTCATCTTTCCGGTCTGGTCTTCGATGAGCTACCGTAGGTCTAGATCCTATCTGATTTCTCCCCAGCTCACAGCATTGCGTTTCCATCGGATGATTATACCTCATGACCTACATGCTGAAGCCATCTGAAGAGATTATTCTTTTGCTTCGCCAATAGATGCAGCTCAAAGTTTCGTGGTTTGCAAGGAATAAGCTCGCCTTGGTCGAAGCTCCTTCACAAGATGCTGTAGCGTTGGATGCCAGCCCGGGGTCTGTCAAACTGTCCTAGTCTCCAACATGGCGGCTGTGGGACGAGGTGTAAGCGCATGCTTCCATGGGAACCTGAAGACCGCCAACTTCATGGTCAGGGCACAAGTAGAGCTGGAGCTCTGCGACAGGGTGTACAGCATGGAGAGCGATCTCGGACAAGAAATCTCTGTTAAGGTTGAGGACTCAGAAAGGACAATTGCCGCAAAACTGCTTGCCTTGAAGCCCGGCATTGACATCAAGGATCAGCTGGTCGCTGGCAGCAGTGTGCGGCTTGCAGATAGGGTCGCTTACGCCATGTGGCTCGTCGATGATGCAGCTTATGGACCTCATCCCACTTTGATATGCACCTTTAAAGGTACTGCAACATTGGAGGACTGGCTTTCAAACCTCCTCTTCCACACAGACAAAGCTGGAGCTGACGCACTGGACACTTTTCTCAAGGAGTGTCTGAAAAGGACAGCGCTTGTGCTGGATGATGTGAGGAAGGGAACGGAGTATCGCAGTCTTCAAGTCCATGCGGGCATTAACCTGGAGATGGGGACTGGCCTGTGGGACCTGCTCGAGGAGACACTCAACATGGAGGCCAAGAATCACCATAGCAGGAAATTGGCACTTGTTCTAGCAGGTGATTCTTTAATCCATGACACTTTGGAATTTGTATCGAGAGCTGCTTCATGGACACCACCTCTGTGAGAAAGAGCGCTGCAAATTGCTTTCTTAGGTAGATCAGGCAGGTCACATGCATGACAGGATGAACACCTCAGTTGACTGATGGTGGCATTCACTATGAACTGTTCCGGCAAAGATTGAAGAGATCTGATGTCATTGTGTCAGGCGGCATGAGCGCGTAAGCAAGATGCAGAAGCTGGTTTCCACATTGGATGGGCTGATTCCTTCTCTCATTCCAGGTCACTCAAGGGGTGGTGGCCATGCAACGGCTCTGTTCGCCCAAGCAGTTCTACGAGGCAAGGCAGCAATGTTTGCGGGAGGGGGGCTGACCACCTTTGGGGGAGTGCGAGTCATCGGCACAAGAGAAGGTGTCCAAGTTGTAGAAGACGCAATTAGGTGGGGGAGTTGGACTCTTGTTGGGTCACCTTCGACTGCAGAATTTCAATAGCCATTTCAGGTTGCCCTTTGACAAAAGTTTGAAATGAAATCTGGGAGGCAGAGGATACCAAACTTGCAGGATTGTGTCTTTGAAGTGCTAGCCAAATCTGTACTTCTAAATCATAAGCTCAGGTAAACCAGTCTGTGCTGCTGGAGAGAACATCTCTGAAGTGAACCAGTTTTCAGAAGGGCTCGAGAGAGCAGCTGCCAACTCTGTACTCACGCTTGCTTGATAGGTTAAAGGGCATGTTGAGAGCACAACCGATAGATTTTTGCTCATAGTGTAGGCTGCTTGCTTCTGTCTCTGTAGTGTGGATGAAATTAAGCGTCGACATGAGATTCTATTTGTGTCTGTCTGTTGCGCAGGGGTCATGACATCAGAATCAACAACTTCGTCAACGGCTGGGACATCGTGCCCCGCCTCTTCGGAAAGCGCAGCTTGTGTGCCCTCGCCTCCGCCCTTGCTCCACTAGCGAATGAGCCCCAACCCGAAACAGCTGCACTGTCGCTCGTTGCATCCGGGAATCTTCTGTGGTCCTTCTTTCGATCCAAGTCTGCAGCCTCCGAAGACACCGGGGATAACAAGCAGATAGTCCCTGGACCAAGCAGCACAACGGCTCTTCTCACGAGGCTGAACGATTTGACTGCAAGAGTCGGCCGGGTTGGAACCAGCTACCAAGTCCTAGGCCAGTGAGTCAACCCACTCGCCAATCTGATCAGGCACGCCCATGCCTCGTAGAATCAAGTTCGTCGGATCCTTGTTTGTTCAGTTCGCGGTCTTTGAAGGTGATGGAGTTCTGTTTGTCACATACTTCTTATCACTCTGCTTCCCCAGGTCACGTACGTCTTAGCACTTCTATTCTTCAGGTCCCTTAGCTCTTATTATGACCATCCATTGTGAGCTTTCGTCGATCGTTCTGACCTTTAGTTGGTGGTTTTCTCTTGACTCATGCCCCTGGAGCTTCAAATCAAGATCTTCAACTCATCTGACTCTGCTTCGTCCTTCTGCAGGATCCACTACCTGGTACTTGATGACATCATCACCAGCAGGGACGGAGACGCCCCTCCTTTCGCGTGGCAGCACATACTGCATCTGTCGAAGGGTGTTCCCAATCCAGTACTAGACCATACGCTTGTCGCATATCGAACAAGTCTAGGGAGGTTAAGATCGGGGTCCGTCAAGGTCTTCGTAGCGAAGAGCAGCCTTGACAATGGTGAGACTCGATATCTCTCCTGCTCTTGTAGCCCTTGATACTTTTCTTGAGTCCATCTCTTGGTCCATCTCAAGTTGTGCATACCCTTTCACAGTTGTGCGGGAGGGATCACGCGGATCTTCTCTGTTTGAGCGGATCGCAACTTGTTGAAAGATCTTTTTGCTCGTCGCTGGGAGCTCATCCGGCAAATTCCAGAGTTGCTCGCAAAGCCTGTGCGCTGCTGCTTATAATGCTGAAAAACTGGCGCTGCTGTCGATTTTGGATCACAGTACTTATGAACTCAGTCAGGTAAGTTCCAGGGCAGCGGTCGTAAGGGACGCATTTCTTGAGCCAGGTCAGCTTCAGCTTTCTCCTTGGAAGCTCGTCGGCCTTGAAATTTGGGTTTCAATGAGCAAACAATTTTGACGCAATCACGTCCCCAGAATAACTCGCTGACACTTCTATTCTGCCCTTCAGGCATCCTCCAACGGCTTGCGTCAGCAGCTCCTGGCATCGAAGCACCGAAGCCTCTGGAGGACCTGTCAATCCAGAGCCCAACTGACCTGGTTCAATCTGTCGTATACGCTGGTGAGGAGCCTTTGTCTTTGACCTTTTGTGAGATTCTCTTGTTGAAAGTTGCCTTATGACGCTCCCGACGTTGCTCTCTTCAACATCAAGCCGGTCTGCGGTATTTCTATCTGAACTGGGTAGCTTCCGGATGCTTTCCCGTTGCAACTTGGTTGTTGCAGGCAAGAACGTGCTGTTCTCCGATCAAGACCTCACGGCTGAACTAGAGGGAGCGGCGTCCAGGACTGTCGTCTCCGGTGCTGAGGCGCACCGCTTGGCAGAGGTGGCTCTAAAGGGTGAGTATTTCAGCAGTCGCATGTCCTTTGCCAGACTCTGCGAGCGTCGCGGCCGAAGATGTTCTTGTCGCTAGCAACTCAAGCCTGAACGGCGACTCTTGCTTTTCCCTGCGTTACGTCTCTTTTGCCGGCTTCATAAAGGACCGTGCGTTTCAGAAAGGTTGACTGCTTTGCTCTCTTATACGACGCACAATTTCTGAGCGGATGTCAAGAACAAGTAACCTTTGTTCACGAGCTTAAGTGCTTTTGGACTCGGGCTATTGATGAAGATCTTCTTCTTCGTTTGCAGGATTCCTCTCCTCCGGTTCCGGACTTCTTCTTCAAGCAGCAGCATCAGTGTACACCATCTCGATGTGCCACGTCATAGACTCCACTTTGAAGAGCCACGTCGGGGACATGAGAGAAGCGACCGCCAACATCAGAAGTCAACTTTCGGAACTGAGGACGTCGGTTACGTCCCTGAGCGAAGCGTTGCAAAGCGGGCTGGAGAGCATCCGAGTAACAGTGAAAGAAGAGTTCCAGAAAAGTCACCAGTTCGCGCTGCTGACAAAGCTAGAGCTGCTGCAGATGAACCTGACAGACTTCCTTGAAGGTGAGGTGATCTTGCCAGACTGCTTACGTTTAGAGACAAATAAGCCTTCAGCCTATCTTACTTCTCAGTCGCTGTTTGTCAGTCTTCAAGCGCAGAGCATCTTCCGATGAGGATCGTCTACTGCCAGCTTCTGTTTTCGAGCGCACTTTTAATAGACTCAAACTCAAACTCTTTCGCAATTATTCTTATCAGATCCGCTCACTTTCTTATCCGTTGCAGCTGATGTTAGGAGCCGCTGTAGTGCTGCGGAACGCTGCCGTAGTTTCGCCGACGAGATCTTCGCCCATCTCAAGGCCTCCTTGAAAGTCTACAAGGAACATCTCAATGGCTGGGACAGGTAATGAGGCGCGCCCGCAGTCCTTCGCCATGACTTACTGAACAAAACAACATTCTTCAATCAGCAACGTTGAACTCTGGTCACACTACACAGGCGACACAGAGCGATCAAAGATACCGAGCTGTGCAAGGACTATCTGAACCACTGGGTCACAAATAGTTCCAGTTTACCCTGGTCCTATTTCCCATCTCAGATCCTACACCCCACAATCTTGTTGCTCGTAACGAGAATGCAAACCATCTTCAGCAGGAAGGTTGAGATCCTTCAGAAGCAATCCCGGGAGCTCACGAAAGAAGCGCCTCATATTGACAGAACGTTTTTCGCAGGGTTCGTCACTACGAGCTGATGGCCTTTGCGCTCCTCGCGCACAAGTGGGTGGAGCCGCGCGCGGAGTCACGCGCTCGCGTCGAAAGCCAAGTAGCAGAGGTTCTGGACCTCGTTTCCGCCGAAGCCGCGAGCATCTTGGCGCACCCGCCGATGCGCCTCCTCGTTGCGCACCAAGATTCCGTGGAGAGGCTTCAAAGCCTGCTCCACATCAAAGCGGCACTGACCGGCGAAACCGGCGGAACCGGAACCGGCGAAATGCTCCCGCGCGCGCCCGCGTTCGAGCACTTCCGCGCCCCGCGTTTCATCGAAGATGGACTCACCGACGTGCGCCGCCTCGTCTGGCTGGAGATAGAAGCTGGCTCGACACGTCTCGTCTCGCCGGTAAGTCAAGTGATGCAGCCTTTGTTGCGGTGTTTGTTGGGGTATGGCACCCGCTGATCTGGATAGAATGCTACATGACAGTCCTGGCGGCTCATATATAACTTTTGCACAACAGAACGGCGAAAAATACATCCTCTGCAAGTTCGTGGAGCGAAACACGACGACGGGTGCTTGAAGCAGAATTTCGTTGACATCTGAAAGAAAGGTCTTTACCGGTAGTTTGCTGGGCCCTTATTGATCGTTAAGTGTCTGCTGCACATCCATTCTTGCTCCGTCTTTTCGTCGGGCTGAGACCGGGGCCTCGTTTCGTCGCAGGATACCTGCCACGTGGCCGATTCACAGATCGAACGCCTGCAAAACTCAGGCGTCTTCTATCCTCGGCGTTTGACTGTCCTCACCTTGGGGGGTGACGAACGTCTCCTGGACAGCATGACGGAAGATCAGCTGACGTCAAGCCAGCGTTACGTGGCGGGGCCAGGAATAGAAGCTACGCGGAGGTTTCTCGAAACTCAATGGCCCAGGCAAACGGCGTTGCAAAGCTGGGGCCCAAACACCTGGGGAGAAGCGGGCAGCAGCAAAACAGTTTAGTGAGTCTACGAAATGCCTACTGCGAAGTAGCCTTTCCTGCGTGACTCTGATGCTGTCGCCTCACGAGTTAGAGCCCCAAGTGATCGCAATACATGCAAGCTTCAGAGACAGGTTTGTTGTTACTGGTTTCCTGGTGATCGTTCCTGGTGAGAATATGGTCAATAAGACAAAAGCGTAATCCCAAGCTGCGCACTGTTCAGCTGCGCACTGTTCAGCTCAGGCTTAGAATCACCGTTGAGCTCAGGGTGCTTCTTACGTCTTTTGTCACACTCGCGTCAGTCACGAATTCCCCTGGGCCTTTCAAGCTTCTCGTTAACTTGTCCCACGTTTCTTTTGCAGCGCTACTCTCCGGACTCCTTTCTCTGAGAGTCTTGACCAGGCGGCGGCGAAAGAGTGGGCCGAGCAAGTGGGGCAGCACGCGGGGGACGCCCTAAGGGACTACGAGCAGTGGCTACCTTGGATACTGGCGGTCACGCAGGTGAATCAGATTCTGCGACCACAGACGTTTTGGTGCTCTTTATGCTTCTTAGCCGCATCGTGGTTAAGTTGATCGAAGAGCATTTCTTGTTACCATCAATCACTGTGACAGAACCTTTGCAGGATCTGCAAAAGTGAAGCTTTAAAGCCGACTCAGCCGATTGTACCAGCTCGGTCGCGTTATTCTGATACTTACCGCTTTTGCACTGCAATGCTACTGCAGGGCCGGGTAATCTCGGCACTCCCTCATTGCATGCAGGTCAACAATAACGAAGGTTGAAATCAGGTTCGGGCGTGAAGTAATTGCTTGACTGACCGATGGCGCCCTCAGATATTCTGAACCAAACAATTGCGAATTCGCATTCCGTTCGCCTGCAGATTATCAAGGAGAAAACGGCGGAATTGGATGCAAAAGGAAACCTGACGGACGGCGTGCTTAAGTTCCTGGACCAAATACGCCGCCAAGCACTCCAGAAGGACGATCTAGAGACGAGCAACACCGCGTGGCGCTTTCTGTTCCAATTCTGCGCGAGCTTGGACACTTCCGCCGGTTCCTGGGCCTTCGTCGCGCGGATCGCAGAAACGCTGCTCGAGCCGAAAATGTTCGAGACGGAGGACGCCCGTTCCGCGAGCGCTCTGCTGCGGAAGCTGTGCGAGTGGCCGGAAGGACGGAAGATCCTCGGCGCTCGGCTGTGCCCGATTTTGCTGCGCGCGCTTGAGACGAGCCCTGACGGTGTCACTCGGACGCTTGCTGCTACGACCCTTCTAGAGCTGATTCTCGACGAGGCAGTTGATCTGCCGCCGTACGATGCTTGTCATCCAGTGCTCTTCAGCTCGCCACGTGGCACTCTAGCTGGCGGGGAGCCCGCCTATCAGATGCAAGCGCCGCCGGTTCTCGCACAGCTGCTAGCAGCCTTGCACAAAGGGACAGGTTCAGATCTGGTACCAAGTGTCGAGCTGCTCCACGTGGCAATCGCGGACGTTATCAGGTGCTTTCACGAGCGCGAATTATATGCCGAGAAGGAGATGTGGCCTACGATCGAGATCCTTCTGCAACTTTTGACCGACAGTAACGATGCCCAAAGGGCGCGACTGGCGTTAAGCGTGCTGCTCTCTGCGCGCGAGTGGTTCCGCGCGCGGTTGCGGGCCTGGGCTGAGTCCTTCAGAGCTTTGGTGGAGTCGGCTACAGCCGCCAAAGACAGCGAAGCCAAGAAGCGCATCTTCGAGCAGCTGCAGACGCTGAAGCAACTAGAGGGCGAGCTCAAGAAGTGCATCAACCGTCCGGATCTGGAAGAGGACGCGGTTAGGAGCGCTTTTACGCTGTGTGTGGACTTGGAATGCAGAGGACGAAGCGACGAGGCAAGTCGCGGGCCGGTAGCATTTGGTCTCGCAGCACAGTTCCGGGAGACATTCACGAAGATGCTAGCCAGCGGCGAAAGCTTCACGGCCAAGGAAACGAAGGAGCTGAACTCGTTCTCGAGCGGAGATCCTGTCAATTCAGTCTGGAATCCGTTCCGTCTGTTCTATACCCCACGGAACGCAGCGGCGAACGCCGGATCCAGAGAACTCCAGCTCAAGGTCCTCCGCATCATCGACAAGAGCCCTTGCGCAGAAAGCTCTCAGCTCGAGACGTCCGGGCAGATCGCTTTGCTACTGGAGAAATCGTCCGGCTCTCCAACAACTTGCTAGGTCGTCGGGTTTGTGCACAAAAAAGGGTACAGAGTAGCATGTGGCTTACGTGTCGGCAGTACCTAGTTTCAAAGAAGTGTCGAAGAAGTCACACTATGTCAAGGCTGGTCCGATTTGCTTTTCAGATGAGGATACCAGGACACCTCAAGCAGTGGACCTGTATCTGATTCGAGATCCTGAAATAGACTCAGCTTGTAACAGACTCTAAACTCAATTGGATTGATAAGAGAAGGTGTGCATGCACATGTCATGAGCAATCATGAATCTTACAGTCACTTTTTGTTAAACTTACGCGCTTCACCATGTGCTTTCAATCTTACACCAACTCATGGTCAATTAGTGTCTACTCCTTTAAGGCCAACTGCCAGACTGTAATGACGCGGTGTGCAGTGCAGGGCCGGTCGGTTGCGCGCCTGTTTTTCATACCTACCAGTTCGCATGAGCCGCCACATGCCAGTAGATTTGCAAAGCACGGGACATTTATGGGGCGACTTCCGTACCTAGGTACGGGCCGAAAATTCCCCGGTACGACCTAGGTAATACCTGATTTTAGTCGGTCCGCCGCCGGTTTCCGGCAAGTTTTCGGTAGGTTTCGAAGCTGCCGGCCGGAGGTTCCTGGTAGGAATGTTATGCCAGTACCCAAGTAAAACCTAGGTTACCTAGGTATAACCTGCGGACCTAGGTATAATTAGTGTAAAATTAAAACGCGTTTAAAATGTTTAAATCTACATGTAGGTAGAATGCTTAGGCAAGGTCCTCCTTTGACCCACATGCTGTTCCATGCTTTGGGAAACGATTTCCCAAGTTGATTGAAGCTAAAAGTCGTAGGAACTCTTCCTAATAGGTCACAAGAAGCCATGGCGCTTGCTTTTAAATTGTGGTGTAAAAGCGCCATAGCTAGAGCGTCTCTCTTACCCTTCTTCCCCTTCTTCTTGAATGGGAAAGGCCTTGTCCCCATAAGGCCAACAAGGGCAAAGAAGGGAGCTGTGCCTAACCTCAATTCTACAAGGCCTTTTACCTTAGAGCTGTACGTTACATTTGAATTTCTACCACGTGTTCGCGTATGCTGTGGCTATCGCCGACTAGAGCACAGGTCTATGTATCGACGGTTATCGCGGCGTTTCAGATTTATGCTACATTAGTCCGTACGGCGGTACCGTACCATGTCACCCGGTATCTTTATTTGGCACAGATAGCTAGGTACCGGACGGTAGCCGAAGTTCAGGCCGCGCGGCTCGGTAACACGAGTCGATCGGCAAATTTCGTACCTAGGTCCAACCCAGGCGGTAGACCCTACGGGTGCACGACCTTCAAATTGGACCCGGACGCGGTCCCCGCGGTCGCGCGAGTTTTCACTCTATGAAAATTTGTCGCACCGTAGACTGTAGACACTTAGCAGAATTCGATCAGACTTGGACAGATTCCAGTCTACGTTTCAGACCTGTAAGAAATGCGCCATTCCCCGGGTGAGCTAGTCAGACCATAGCATGAATGTTTTCGGCGGCAAGTCTGCCCGGTTGGACTCGCAGGCTTCAGAGTCAACCGAGCACTCTTTCAGGCCTAACAATCGCCCGGTGGATGGCTAGGTCTGGGAAGGCCAACCGGGCAGGCCTAGCGCCGAAAACAGTCCTGCTATGGTCTGACAAGCTCACCCGGGGAAGGGCGCATTTCTTACAGGTCTGAAACGCAGACTGGAATCTGTCCAAGTCTGATCGAATTCTGCGAAGTGTCTACAGTCTACGGTGCTACAAATTTTCCTTGAGTGAAAACTCGCGCGACCGCGGGGACCGCGTCCGGGTCCAATTTGAAGGTCGTGCACCCGTAGGGTCTACCAACCCAGGCGAAACCACTTTCAGACCGACGGCCCGGCGGTCAAATTTGGTCGAACCGGTCGGTTTTTGGCAGGTTTCCTTCCGGAGTACCGCGGTAGTCGACCTACGGCCAAGTTGCACCATAAATGTCCCGTGAGATTGGTCGACACATGGGCAAAGCGACCAGAGTGACTCGTTTACTCTTGTTAGCTACAATAGCATCTTCCCATGCATGGCCAAACCTAGATCATGTTTGCCGCTCGGTATTATGGCATGCATGCCTCCAAGTCGAGTGTGCCGCATACATACACTCAGTACAATTTGATGTGCACCTATAACCCTGATTGACGGACCGCACACAACGTTATAATATAGTTCGCTTTGCATGATCCCAATTGTGCCATGCAGGTTCGATCAACTATTCGGGGCTGGGTCAGCCACCGTGCCACGAAAATGTGCACCTATTTGCGGTATGCGTTCAATTCTGCACGTTTCCTGCACTGCTCCTACAGCATGGCGGCCGGCTTGTTCGCCGTCCAGGCATCAGATCATATCAGCCTGTGGTCTCTTCTTCCCTTCAGAGTACCATCGTGCAGACCCAAACTCAAAGAATCTTGCGTCTATCTTTTGCTCGACAGGGCTGTACTGAACCGTACGTCGTGACTCATTGCGCGCCGGTGCCCCTTGTCTGGACTCTTCGACGACGGCCTTCCTTGTGCGATTCGAGACAGGTCGGCCATCTCCCCACCTCGGCTGCTTCCAGCTTGGGCGACCCTGCCGGTACTCCCCGAGGGCTCTGGTCGCCAACTCGTCGGAAGCTGAGGATGATCCCCCTCCCCTCTGCCCACCCTGCTTTTGGCGACGTGTTGTCGAATCTGCTGAAACGGTGCAATGCCCGGCTGGTAGCTGTGCGGACTATTTGGAGCAGTGGCGCTCCGGGCTCTCGAAAACGGGCCCCTCAAACCTGTTCAGACCAGAATCATACGTCAGCAAATCTGTATGCAGAACTGAAATAACACAATTGACTCATTGTGTCCGATCGACGCGATCCGGCTCATCATTCGGCCCTTGAGGTTGAGACGAATAGGACGTTTGAGACGATTGAGCCGCACGTACGCAGAGCTTGCGGAAACACACGCGGGCTGCTTGTTACAAAGGCTAATATGGTCGCAATTCATTGCTGATTATGACTCCCGTGAGGCACTCAGAGACCAAAGCTAGGTAGGAGGTGGCCGAGTCTCGCTCATAAACTTCCCATCGCTGTAAATCCAGAACCTCGTCCTAGCCTCTCTCCGTATCTCGGTTGATGGTGACCAGAAAAGTGCTAACACGATTCCTGGCTGGAACCGGAAGATGTCCTCAAATTGCAATCTGCATGCAGACCCTATCCACCACCGTCAGTATCACGGAACTCCGAAGCATCCCCCTCAGCATGTCAGCGCAGAATTAAGCAACGGGGACCGCAACGGACCACAGAAAACAAGAAAAGGTGGTCAAAAGTGCGGTTCACGCTCCACAAACTAGCTCTCTTACCCACAAAAACGTTTTTCTTTCGAGCCCAGATCACAAAACCTGCTCCATAAGATCAGAGCGGAACCAAATCACTTGAAATATGGAAGACCGTCAGGCGTTGTGGACACGTGGCCTCACTTTTGCGGTCGAGCGCCCAGTTCATGCTGTCGATCCTGCCCTGGATGACCTTGAGCGTGGACGCGAGCGACTGGACGCGCTTCCGGATGTGCGCCAGCCGGGCCGCCTGCTGAGCGACCAGCGGCTGGGGCGATTCCTCCAGCAGCTTGTCCAGGCCTGCGAGGCAGGTGTGAATACGCTCGGCTTCCTCAAAAAGAGAGACGGTCCTTTAAGGCGTGAATTTTGTCAAAGGCCTGAGAACCTACCGTTTGAAACGGACCCTCTGAAACGTGCGACCGGTCATTGCAAGGGTCTTGACATGAGTCGGATGTTGCTCACAACGTCTAATGTGGTAAGACAGATGGGACCGAGGTCCGACCAGGATTTGAATATAGCCCCAAGTCTAGGAGCGTGACTCGAAGGACGCCTTACACACGTCCCGGGTCTAGAGGAAGTCGCAACGTTCGCTCTAAGGTCAACGACTTCCCTTCCGATCTACTTGTGTCTGCCCCCTGATCCCCGGACACTCCACAGTGAGCAGATGATCAAACGCAAACAGAAACTTAGCTCCAATCTGGAGCTCAACACCCAATCAGCAAGACGACCAAACATACTGATTGCTTACGTGATTCTATGTTGGCTCTTACCGCCTATTTGCGACAACGAAGACCGTCGGCACAAGACGGAGGGACCAGTCGGAAGAGATGGGGGTTCCTTTCGAGCTTCGTCTCTTGAACTCTGCTCTCATGCCATTTGGAGCCGCATTGAAAAGGAATGTCCCCGAGGTTGCGTAAAGCGGTCAGTCCTCTGCTTAAATTACCTTGTGTAAGGTTCTGCGTCGACCGACTGGCGTAAATGCTCATCTGCGGTCATCCGGACCAATGAGAACGCTTAAAAAGATCACGTGGTATGTAAAGAGCAGTCCTGGTACAGGTTTTTTGCGAGAGCGGCATGTACAGAACTGTACGCGGACTGGAGGTGTGAAGCTGGTGAGCCTAGCAGTTTTCGGTCGACGCGGAACCTTATTCTGGTATTTTCAACGCCATCCCAACGAATTTGTTTACCAACTCACCTTTCGTCAGGCGGTCGATGCTCAGTGCCAGCTTCTCCTGACTCCTCAGCGCCGCCTCCACTTGCTTATCCGCCTCTCGCGTCACTGGCCCAAACACCCCCGCGATCCCCGCCGCAATTTCGTCCGCCGCCACTGCGCCGGGGGGGTCGAGCTCACGCCTGGGAAGCTCTTGCTGCTTACCCCCTGGTTTCGAAACATCCGCCGCATGCTTGTTTGGTGCCTCCGAAGCGAAGGACGGAGATGCAACTGAGGGGGGTTCCGTTCTGGCGCTACTGAACGGAACGGAACCGGAAGTTCCGGGGTTTTGAGGAGGCTGAGAAGGAGGACCGGACTCAGAAACGGAGCCGGACATAGGAGGATTGGGTCGTTGGCCAGGAGCTGATTCTAGACCAACATCTGCTACCCTGCCCGAGCCGGAAACCGAAGGAGCCCCCGATCTGGGCGCCTTTGTCCCAGGGGTGGCTTCCGGTTCTTTGCTGGTGAAAGGGGCGCTCGGGATGGATGGTAACTGGGCGGTGATTGTCGACCAGGACGGGAGGAAGGAGGGCAGGGACAGGTAGGACGTGCCCGGGGAAGTACCCTGGGCGGAGGCGGGGGGGTGGGGTGCCTGAGAGGAAGTGCTCGTGGGAATCTCCCGGGCGGCTGCACCGGGCTGAGGGCCTTCTGAGGGGTCCGCAGGAACCGTTGCAGGTGAGGTGACGGGCTGGGGGGAAGTACCCGGGGGGATCTCCCGGGCGGGATTGGCGGGCTGGGCCTCCTGAGAAGAAGTGCTCGGGGGAGTCTCCTGGGCGCTTTTTTCGGGCTGAGGAATGTGTGAGGTATTCGGGGGGGTCTCAGACGGGGAGACGACGGGTTGGGGGCCTTGCGGGGAGGTCAGGCAGGGGTTCAGGGAATTGTCCTGGGAAGAGGAGCTAGGGGGAGCGGAGAAGCCTGGTGGAGCTGCTATTGAAGAGGGGTTCGGAGACTCGTCCCTTTGGTAGGAAGCTGCCGGGCCGTCGACTCCTGACGAGAGTGAGGTGAAAGTGACATTAGAAACTGTGGGGCCTTCGCTAGGCGTTTGGTCGGCAGCCGAAGTGCTCATCCCTAGAGACGCCCCACTTGCTGATGTCACCCTGTCTTTACCGCTCTCAGTCCCTTGGGCGCCCTCAAGTTGTGGTGGAACAGCAGGCTTCTCGACTGGCCCTACTTCTGGCGAAACAACCGGTTTGGACGGCTTTCTTGAAGCAGGCGTAAGATATGGTACTGCGGTGTTCATCAGGGCCGTGAGGGAGGATACTGGAGGCGTACTAGTGGCTGGAGACACTGACTTTGCGGAGCTTGGGTTATCGTTGGAAACAGGCGGTTCGCGCAAAAGCGGAGCTTCCGAACCACCCGTTGTGCCTGAAAGCGACGTGCTTGCCTCAACCGAAGGAGTGCTTGTCTCCTTCTCTGGGGCTTTTGAGGAAGTTGTCGGGTTAGGGGCATAGTTGGCAGACTCTGTTGGAGGGGGAGTTGTGGTTTGGAGGGGCGTACTGGGCGCTTGAGAGGTGCTCTTTGGTTTGGACCCCGAGGAGAAAAAGGAACTTATGGAGGCCGGAGAAGGAAGATAGGACGTGCTTGCAGACCCTGTTGAGGTCTGCAAGCTTGGCTGGTTTGAAGGTGCAAGAGCCGAGGAGGGATTGGTGACAGACGCCTCGTCGCTCCTCACTTCCGGCGAGAGCCTCTCAGCCGCAGATGAATGACTCTCCTCCTGGGACGACTTGGATGCTTTCTCGGTACCTGTACAAAGAGAAATTGATGTCTGAAGAGTCCACAACTCAAATTAAGGGCTGCATGGGTATAGTCAGATGGATCTGGTGCAAAAGCTTGCTTTTGGGTGCAAACCTCGGAAAAGTTGAACGCACTTGACAGAGGCAAGCAAGAGATCTGCACATGCAGCGTGTTCACTTCCCATGTGAGTAGAAGCTGGCCTTTCTGGGACATACTTGCGTACACTAACTCGTGCCTGTTGGCTCCAATACAAGTCAAGGACCTCAAGGAGGATGTTGCTTTCAGTGCTGCATCATATGTGGTCCGGCAACAACGAAGTTCAGAGCTTCAGTAGGCAGAATCCAGAAACTACATTTAAGAAACAACATAGAGAGCATGTCGGATGTGAAACACATACCCCATGTATACCCCACATACTCCAAACCTGACGTACCTTCCCAAGCATCTAAAAGTAAAAGGTGTTACACATTTGTATGGATTGTGACTCATCACAAGTCTCCCACAAAGGCCATTCCTGAACCTTCTCAGTACTGAAGTCTTGGAAGTGGTGGCTCGTTCTACAAAGAAGAGCCCAACTTGAGGAAGACCCTGGAGGACAACAAGCGGGGGAAAAGATCCTGGGAAGTGATTTGATGCAGCCCAATCTACACAGAAGCTGGCGGGTACTACACTGACTAAGCATTTGTCTAACCGCTGCCACCATACGTACGATATATAAAAAGGAACTCACCAATTTGGTTACGAAGAAACTTTCTTTCGACTATGATTCTTACCTGAGTTCTGCTGGGCCTGGTCTGTAGAAGAACGTTCGGGGGCGCCCTCAATTCCCACACTCGATGGTGTGCTCGACCGCAAGAAACCCCCATTGAAGGATGGAATAGCAGCAGCAAGAGCAGACGTGATTGAGCGGCCCACGCTGGACGGAGACGTGCTAGTCATCTGGCTGGAGGATGGGGGGCTTGTATCCAGTCCTTCCTTGTTTGGGCCGGGGCTTGGAGTGGCAATTGGTGGGGTCACTTTTGAGGGAGATTTGTGTGTGACATTGCTTAGCCCCTGCTCTGAAGCAGACATGCTTGAAGGCATGTTATGATGCGAGACTTGCCCATTGTCTTGTACATCATGCTCTTGGTCCCTAGACGCCGCTCCCTCCATTCTTCTGATGCGAGTCCAAGCTCTTGCGAAAAACAAGCTGTCCGCTTGAAGAAAAGGAACAGGCTCAATATTCTACTAGGTAAGACATACTGAGATTAGTACAATGGTGAAGGGCTAATGTTGCCCGCACCACCACCCGAGTTTTCTTTCTCAGCTCAGCGAGGTTTACAGACAGTGCTGTTAAGAGCAATCGCTTGAGTGCTAGCATCATCGGCCAGCACGATGATGTTCACACCAATCCCTCACTTGGCATCAATTGTGACATCTGCCATTTAGGGCGCCACCAAGAAGGCATCAGCAACCACAAGACATTCCGACTCAAAAAGACGAAGAGGGAGTTCCAGCCACTGTGGCTCTGTGGCTCGGCCGGCGACCACGAAGCCGCAGAATGTGCTCGGCGGTCGCTCAATTTTGCAGTCAAGAGCACTCAATCTGTGTCACGCACCTGGTGCAAGTAACTTAGTATCCAGTGGCAGCAGAGTTGGCGAGCTGGGTGTAGAGGGCGCTCTTCAAGAAGTGAAGAGAGTGGAAGAGGCGCCCGTTGAAGAGCTTGACGATTGGAGGATAGTTTCGTAAGGGCTAGATCCAATTGGTAAGGGGATTCTCAGGCTTCAATAGACAGCAAGTTCGCTGGTGTTTGCTGCTGAAGGGTGAACCCTGGTGATCCCTTCAGGCGCTGAGCTCAATGCATCACCTGCCTAGTCGAATTGGGAGTTTTGGACAGTTTGCAGCTGGTCGCACACAGGTAAGCACTCCAGCTTTTCCGATCTTTGACGCTTTTGCCGCTTCTCTCAAATTGCCAAGTCCTTGATCCCAGGAAAGATGATGTCCGTGGCCTTGGGTGCAATAACTTGCTTCTAATCTGGCCTTTAAAACCTGGCTTGGTTTAGTCAGTCCAATGGCAAAAATGATTATCAATTGTCTACATTATTCCATGCTGGAAACAAGATCAGGTTGCAAAACTCATCAAATGTCCAAGTCTCGCAAATGTCACAGTCCACTGCCCGTCCACTGATTGCATGGACCTCCATTGTCCAACTTGCATCGAACTTGCACACACTGATTTCGTTGCCATTGCTTCTCAAATATTTGCAAGCTTGTTGCGAAGGGCGTTCCACCTGTGATTTGCAGGAGATTTTGGATCTTAAAATGATGGTCTAAAGTGAATTGCATGTGGTCCGCATCTGGTATCTCTCGCAATTCCAATCAAAGCAGGACGTTTGAATGAGAGAAGAGAGGAACTTTATTGGCCGTTTAAATGTTTTTGTGCAGGCCATGGATGATGGTGGAAACGGGCAGCAGGATGCGTCAGCTGATGGCAGGTTCCTCCTCCAGGGCTACTTACTGAAGAGATCAGAGACGGTACGGAAAACCAATCCTTGACCTCTGGTCATTCTGAAATTGATCAGAGACTGCCGATCTCACGAGAATCAACAAGAGTGGCGTCGCATGATTGGCGAGTCCAGATTCTGCAGCCAGGCTCAAGAAATTGGTTATGCAACTACCTGTCAAGCTGAGACTTTCTGATCAAAAATGCCGCTATTCATGAAAAACCTCCCTCTGATGATACTTGGCTTGGGCAAAGGGATATACATACCATTCCTTCTTTGTTGTTAAACTGCAGCTGAGACGCTGGAATAAGCGATGGTTCAGCTTGGATCCTACAACCGCCAGGTTGGAATACAGGTTAGTGGACTTGCGACATTGGACTTGCTTTTTTGTCTTTTGCCACATGCCCCTCTGCAGACATTGCTGCAATGTGAACTAATCTGGTGCCTCAGGGAGGGCGCATCAGCTATCAACTGTTCTGTCGCACTACTGAAGCCCTGATCTCTTGACAGGTCACAGCGGAGCGACCTGTATCCACGAGGCCAGATTGTCTTTGATGCAAGCAGCACCATCACAGTTTCGCCGATCAACTTCAAGTAAGTTGCCCTTCTCGCATTTGAAAGGTCCGTAACTGGCCCTCGTGGACATTCGTTGTTTGAATCTGCACACCAAGGTGATGATATGCTGCCGCCGAGTTCTATTTGTAAAGCTCTTTAAGCCATCTTGTCGTTGATTTCGAACCTGTGTTTTCAAGCATCTTATTGAAAGTCGTCTGCACTTTGGGAAGATATGGTACTCACCCCTTTTCCTCTTTGTTGCACTTGTAGCAGTGGCGCAAAGCAGTACGATGGATGCTGTCTCTGTATCCTTCCTGCCAACAACCTCCTTTCTTGCTCTGTTGCCTGCTTCAAATGAAGCAGTCTCATGTCGCACGAGCATTTTCACCGCTGTTATCTCAATCATATGCGTCCATGATTGCGCTGCTGAGCCCGCGCCCATCAAGTCCTATAGTCTTTCAACGGCTTCCTATATCTGTGCTGCAACAAATAACGAGAATCTTCATACGAATAGTGTGATGTATCATCCTTGACTGTGAGTGGGACCAGATATTGGCACTCCCCGGAAGAAGGATTACTTCCTGGCGGCAGAGACGCCGGCAGCAGCCAGGGCTTGGGTGACAGCACTGCGGTAAGTTCCAGATGTACAAGCTAGCTCGTCCTCAGAGACATCCAGTCGAGAGTGACACCTCACACACAAAGCTTGAACTTTGTAGGGAAGAACGTGAATTTCGAAATGTTAGATCTGCTTCTGCGGAGGAGAAAGTAACGATGTACACTGCTCAGCGCTGGGATATTAAGACTTCTGCTCAGCTATCAGTCACACTCTTCAGTTTGAAAAGAGATTGTCCCTATGCTTTTCTTGCCAGTGACTGTAACAGAGACCCATGTCAGAGGCTCTCTGACCTCCAGTCCAGCTTGCAGCGCGCTCTGATTGACGTGGCAACTTTGCACCTTTCACTGACGTTTCGTGCACTGCAGGGCGGCTATGCAGGTCCTCAAGGCCCACCGTGATGCTGTGAACGCTCTCGGAGACTCGCAGAGGCGGCAGCAAAGCGAGGCCGCTCTTCGCGCCGCTGCCACTGCATCGAACGCCACTGCGGAGGCGATGGCGAAGGAGATCCAGGCGGCAAGCCAGAAGCTGGTGCTACAAGGGTTTGGGATGCAGGCGGAGGAGAGTGGGCAGGCCGATGAGGGGTCGGATGATGGCGTTATGGATGGAACCACGATCGTGAAGGTGAGGCTGTACTCTCGGTTTGCTCGACCACGTGATTGCCAGTCAGGTGGCCTGCGAAAGAAGGTCGGCTTGCATGATGACGATTGCCCAAACGGCAGATATAGTCAGACTCATCCTTCAGGAGACAGAGGCGCAGTTACAAACGCAAATCCATACGTCCTGTTGGCGAGTAGCCGAACACAGCTCCATTGGAGGACGTCAGCCAGCACTTCTAGCACTGAAAGGGCAAGTATTGGTAATTCCGTCCTTTTCTCCTCATGTTGCGGTTCGTATCTTCCAGGGAAGAAAGCAGCACCGTCGAGACCTTCACCGACATTCTTTCTCGTTCCTGGATATCTTATTTGTTTACAAACCTCGTGAACGCTGCGACGGTGGCGATCAGTTTTACCTGCTTCGTCGCACTACAGAGAGACGCTGTCCGTCAGACAGGCCCTGTCGCCACTGGCCCTGCTCGAAGGAACCCTTCCTCCGACATTTCTAATCTGGACAAGCTCAAACTCTGCTCGCGCTTCAAGCTCAGTCTCCATCGTCCCCGCTCAAAGCAAACCCTCACCGCAACCGCTCCAGATCGACTTGACACCAAAGCAGATTCTGTGCCTCAATTATTCCCACAGGAGACGCTCCGTGTCAAAGACGAGGAGCTCGCGCAAATGGCGCAGGACCTGCGGGCCCGCGACTCGACGATCCGCGAGATGGCCGATCGGCTGTCGGAGACGGCAGAGGCGGCCGAGGCAGCGGCGGCGGCGGCGATGCAGATGGACCGGGACAGGAAAGCGGCGGTCTCGGAAGCGGCGCAGGCACGGCGGCTGGCGGAGAACGCGCTCAAGGAGGCGGAGACGCGGATCAAGGAGGCGCAGGAAAGAGCGGCGCAAAAGGTGGGTGACTCGACTTCGGTCGGAAACAATCTAAGTGGAAGATTTAAGGACGGTTGCGACTCAAAAAAATGGTTCGTTGCCTAAAAAGGCTTGCAAACGCTCCGGATAAAGGGTTCTGTATTTGAGGTCAACGAGAGTGATTGTGAGACTGCTGTGCACTGAAAGTTTTTCACAACGGCTTCCGCCACTGTCGATTTCAACGGCTGGCTAAACCGGTCGAACAAAGAACATCGTAAGAAGTCCTTCGTCTCAGCCAGTGAGCGTCTTAAGCGTGCCGTACAGGAAGTTCTGGCGAGTGTTGGTGTCGGATACTTGTCGCCAAGTGACCCTGAAAATCGCTTAGCTCTGTTTGTGCGCCTTTGAGTCCTCGAGCGACCGGTCCGTCGCGTCAATGAGACTTCGCACTTCTTGTGGAGCCATAAGCGTCCTGGCTGGCTTCTTCGCCTTTCTGATGCCCGTCCTCTTCTCTAGTCCATCGCCAAAAGCGTTGCTTCGGATTGTTTCTCTGGTCCACATTCAAGAACGAGGCAATCCAAGGATGTTTCCCCTCAACTTTGATCATGCATCGCCAGATGCCAGGCACCGACGCCGTTTTGTGTAAATTATACGTTGTTTGCAGTTCATACGATATATACACCATGTATATACGCGCAGGTAAAGACGCTGGAAGCCGACCGGGAGGAGGCCATCCACCGGGCCATGCAGTGGAAGGCCGAGGCCGACCGGGCGCACGAAAAGGCGCGAGCACTGGAGCTGGCGCTGAGACAGGCGCAGGGGGCGGCCGCGACTGCGAAGACGCACGGTCTTGCAGCTGACAAGCCGTGAGTCTCGCTAGCCCCTTGACAGCAGCTTAATATTAACTGGTCTAGGGGTTTCCATCAGTTGAGAGCTTAGTTCTGCAGAAAGCTAGGTCTTATGATCCCCTTCCAACCTGTTGCAAGTCGAGACGGATTGCCAGAGGACCGTATCAATGTTAAAAATACCGCTTTGTCTAGAGGGCATTTTCCGGCAAAACCTCGCGTTGTGTATATGCAGACGTTGCGTCAATAGGTACGCTTCATTTTGGGCTGGGACCCCGTGTCGAATGTGTGAAGTGGACAAGCATGCGGTTAGGCCTGCCTGCTCAGTCGGGGAATGCTGCTGAACTTATACTCCCCTCCCGTTGAGGACTGTAGAACGTCCTGAACGAAATCACCATCGTGCTAAGGACAGGAAGCTCACACGCAGTCACAGCTACCTTTTATCGGTCGCCGTAGTCTAAACCGTCCGTGTTCATTCACGACGGATTGAGAGAAAGTGAAAGATTGAGAGAAAGTGAAAGAAGATAGCGCATGCGTTCTCCATCTTTTTGCAGACCGGTCGAACCTGCTCTCGAGCCGCCGGCGACCACGATCCTCACAAGCACAGCAGAGCCGTCTCAAGCCCCAGCAGAACCGGACGCGGCCGCCGTACAAAGTGCAAGAGCCGGGCACGAAGTCAATGAAGCAGCTCAGCAAACAGCAGCAGATCCTCACAGCAACGAGAATGGGGTCGACTTAGGCCACAACAAGGAGCCGTCCATGGATCAGCAGTCAGAGAAGGAAGAGCACAAGGCCGGTCCCTCTGCACCGGTCGTCGGTGCCGGTCCTCCAGAGCAGCGAGGCCCCGAAACGAGCAACACGAGCAACACCGACGGAGTGGCGGGAGAAGGTGTTGGAGGGGATGCTGATGGTGCTGGGTTGCAGAATGTCAGTCAGTCCGGGGCCCCTCCGAAGCATGAAGATGTGGAGAGCCCGAGCGTCCAGAAAAGCTCGCCTGCTGAGGATCAGAAGAATGTTGTGGATAAGAAGCAGCCCGGGGACGCAGGACACACTTCAGGGTTTGTTGACGACGTCCCAGCTATGGATCCGGGTTTTCTCGCTGCTTTTCGGCAGGGCTCTCTAGGGAGTCAGCCTGAGAGTGGCAAGCCAGACGACAATCCTTAGGATTTTGTCCTCCGTCAAAGAAAGTAGAAAGAACCTCATAGCGTACATTATATTGGTTTCATGCGTTGAGTGCTCTTCGGCATGATACATGAGAGCTCTCCGTCACCGTGCATGGATCTGCTGTTGCATGACCTGGTATTGGTTAAGATCTGAACCCTGCAAGTATGATAGTCAACAAGCGGCGGGCTAAAGATCTGGCCCGGGTGCCCATGCGGTACTAGCTATAGGTCGAATCTACTGATGTCATGCGCGATCTAGGTTCGGCGAGCTTGATTGGGCTCGGTAAGATATAGAGCGGAACACATGTGCATCGGCAAAAGTGTAATAATCAATCTTGGCTGATTTTGTGACGCACGTACTTGACGATCGGAATGATCCAGTATACTCACTGTCCGGTAGCAATTCTTCGCAACTACGAGCCTCGGACTCATGACCTTAATACCGTTCCGCCATGCATGACGGCAAACACCGCATGCAACTTAAAATGCCTGCTGTTAGCATATTATCAAAATGGTAGCATGCACGTGATACGACTGCATTGATTCTGGCGACTCCAGACCCAAATGTGCCGCTTTAACCATTGACACCGTCAAGTGCATTTCCTAGTTGTCTGCTTTTATAATTTAGAACATGATACAAAAGATGGTGAGCTCACCATTTGTGACCTATAATGATCTTGTGGGTCCTGCTCGTGTCGTCACTGCTCAATCCAATCTCCGTCCACACTGTTACTAATAGCCGCCTCGTATCCAGTCAAAGAGTGGTCTAACAAACCCACCGGTAACCCCAACAAACCCACGCCGATTGCCGCAAGCACCGCGCACGTCAGCGGATCCACCATGAGCAACACGGGGCCAATGAAAAGCAATGGGATCAACGTTGTGTAGACGGCCAACCACGTCAGCGTGACGTTGACCGCGCTTGACCCTGGAAGGCGGTTCTTATAATCTTCCCACGCATAAAGCGCTTTTTGGGTTCCTTGCGTGATTGCCCAGGCCCTAAAAATGATGGGCTGCTCTTGGAGGAAGACGATCGAGCCGGAGGCGGCGGCCGGGTTGATTGGAAGCGGGTTAGCGCGAGGTGGCTTAGTGGGAGCCGGTTCCAGGAAAACCAGTTGGCCCGAATGCTGGTAGAAGAGGTCGAGCGGAGGGGGATCCCGGGGCACGATGTCGTTGGTGTTTACGACGCGAACATACCTGGGAGAAAGAACAGCGGTTAAGTTCAGGAAAGAGCCAAAGGGAAGAACAATTGAACGGCGCTATGACTTGGACTTCAAGCAGACGGGATTGCGATGACAGCAAAGTGATGCGAGACGTTGGCAGCAGATTGAAGACCACTCTACATACGAAATTGTCGCCAGCCTTTTGTTGCTGATTGAACGCTTCCGATCCGTTAAGCGAGGTTCCCGGTTGAGCCTGCGTTTGCGAAACGGGTTTGAGAACTCAAGTGTACTCGTATGCCCTAGCGATGCCTGCGAAAGTACGCACGCAAACCCCGTCTTGACCGCAGACGTCACGTAAGAAAACAAGTAGTGTCAACCGTTTGAATGACGCCCTCACCTGACCGACTCATCAGAGATTGCTTGGTGTTGTAAGCCTCGCATCACGTTGCGTGCGTATTGGTTGTTCCCCACACGTGGCTGCCCGTACGTGAAGAGCCCACACTCTATGTTCGAGGACAGACTGCTGTCCCCCGGAGGTATCGTGGCAGCGGCAACGTATAGATTGGCAACCGCTCCCCCAAGACTGTGCCCTGCACAGCACAAAGGGACTGTCGTCCCACTGTTGCTTCGGCTCCGATCTAGACTTGCTTCAATCCGCACCTTTCTTGCCAAACCAGAGATCCAAGTGCTTCTTGTCACCTCCAGTTTGAGGCTGCAGGGCAGCGATTCGCTTTATATTGGAAAGACAAGGATTTGGAGTCTGATAGCCTGCATCGAAGCAAGGTACGCAAATGCTGATGTAGATTGGATACCGAAACGTCAAAACCCTCATTGAATGCTTCAGAAGGATAAGCACATGGATAGGGCTCGCCGGAACGGCGTCTTTTGCTTCTTGACAGTTCAGGTGAGCTGCACTGTAGAGATTACCTGACCGGCAAGCACCATTGGGGTAATCATTCACGGCAGATCCAGCCCGTTAAGTCACCCAGCTCATGTCTCGGAAAGCCTTGCTAGCTCTCTCATCTGCTAGTAATATACACCCAAACGCGCCTAAACAGCACATTTTCTTTGGCCATTACTGCCTTTAAGCTTCCACGATTCAGGTTCTCGAGGCAGGCGCACCTGTGACGAACAGTCGCCCTCCGCCACTCAGAAGTTCCTCGATCTTCGCCGTGATGATGTCAAAGGGGGAGCGGTTCTCAGGCGGCTTGCGTATCAGGACGTCTCCCTCTTGGATAAGAAACCTGTCAGCAGCGCGGGCGGAACAAAAAATATTTGCGCTCTTTTATCAAGCATTGATAATATCGACAACCGGACGATTTTGATTTACAAGCGGTTGCGGTGCCCATTCACAATGGGGAGAATCTCGGCCGTGCTGGAAACAGGTATCGATGGACAAGTAGAATGATGTGCACGATGCATACGGTCTACCCGAGCAAGGAAGTCAAGCGAGCGAGCGTCTTACTCAAGCAGAGTTTCAAAAGCGGAAGCAAGCCGAAGTCTTTCCGAGTAACTTGACGAGTCTACAAACACTGGAAAGCTGCCCAAAAACTTTCGACCGAGCGGTCTCCCGAGGTATATCCTGATATATCTTGAATGAAATTCCAAGTGATGTTTGGATTACTGCTGAAGTATTCCCCATTGGCGGTCTGCTCCTTGGTTAGTAACATCTGACGTACCAGCAAAATCGAAAGAGACCGAAATTGAAAACGAGCTTACTGGGCGTGAGGAAGTCCTTTGCTTCAATCAACGTAACAAACAGCACTACCACTCTGGTGTTCGGCACTTGGAAACGTTCCGCGGCCCATTCGTCCGTTGTAAAACCACGGTCACTAAACCGGGAAACGCCCCGTGACGCACCCGCACTGCACGGAGGGATCCCCCTGCAGATGATGGCCCAGCCCGAGCGCGCGCCGGAAGCCGGAGTGGTACTTTCCGTACGGCCAACCAACCGGGTCCTGCTCGGGGGGCACCACGTCGAAGTCCGTCAACCAGCCCACGTTCTCTAGGGGTTCCGTTCCCCGGAACGCCAGAACGGCGACCCCCCCGGGAGCGGTGAGCAGCATCGCACTGGTCTTGACGTACGCCGTCTCGCGGGGTTTTCCGGGCTCGGGGACTGCGGAGGGGGGACACGTGTCAGATGAGGAGCTGGAGAAGAAGCTGTGGTGTGCTTACGGGCCAACGGCCAAGGGCCCGATCGGGTTTCCCGCAGACTCTGTTAATCGGAGATTTGTGTTTATCGTGTTGACTCTAGTGGAAGGCCTATATTCTCCCTCATCATCTAACCAGCCTATTCGCTTTTGTTAAACCGTCAGTGATCCGTTTAAGCCGAGCGGTAAAGCAACTACTTACGATCCTTTTTTCGACCAAAACATGAATCCGGGAAGGTGAGCTTCAGGGCTGAGAACGCCTGTTTTAGGTCTCTTTAGAAGAGCAATTGAGTCGATATAGAGCAGCTCCCAGCCGTGTTCGCAACAAAGTAAAGGGAAAAATCCGAAGCGAGCAGGTTAACCTTCACTCCAGTCGGTTTGAAGCATTCATCTGGTTTGCTCTGAATCCACGAAAGAATAGCAACGCTCACTGAGGCTGATCTGATCAAAGTGCCAGGCGCACTCGAACGTGAACCCGCCCCAGGACTCGTCGACAATCGTCCGGGCGATGTGCCACCGTTCATAGGCTAACCGGGAGCACAGCGCCATCAGTTGCGTCTTCTGTTTCGTCAGCCAGGGATCCCTCACGAGAGCTTCGACGTCGAAACCGGCCAGCAGAGAGAAGTCGGTGCCCTGCAGAGAGAGAACCGCTTTGCCCATTTCGCTTTGCCGGCTATCTTACGTCAAACCCGCGACTCTTGGCGATTTGCTGTGAATAGGAGGAGAAGGTGTGTCCAGCCTTTGATAATTTCTTTTAAAAGGCACGAGGCTAGTGAGAGAAGTCCAAAGGAGTGCTACAATGACCGAAAACAAAGGGTGATGGCTCTTAGAACTGGGCTACTCGATACACCGGTGGCTGATAAAGGACTGCTTCTCACAAAACTACAGCTCTTTCCAACCAGCCTTACTCCAGTTCCGGTCCAGATTAGGTCAAATGTGCACACCCTCAATCAATAGGATTACCTTGCCGACCAAGTGTGTGCATATCGAAGCTAAGCTTGAGAAGAGCTGTATTCCAGATACAAAGGTTGGCATACGACGAAAGGGAGAATCATTGAACACACTGTTGATACCCACCTGTAAGAAGTTGATCAGTGCGTGGTTACGGTTGACCATCGGTTTGGGAACAGGGTTCAGAAGGAAGCGGTACCACTGCAGGAAGAGACTGCAGCTCCGGCCGACGCGCTTCACAATCACCGGGATGAAGAGCGCGAACTTGAAGGGGTCACGAAACAAGTCCGGACACTGCCCGTCTGAATCCCCATATTTACCTGCCAAAAACGGACGGCCTGCGTCAGATTCTAGCAGGAAAGGCGCCTTTCTTTCCTGAGCGATATCAAATGGGGCAACAATCGAGCACAGATTGAAAAACGAAGGCGCCGCCGCAAGCTGGCTGACAATGTTTCTTGCCTTTTCTGCCAAGCTCCCGAGGAAAATGTGCAGACAATCCTAGCTCGATCACATGCTGAGGTAGCCAAGGCGTTTCAAATTCGTCCCGTCTGGATGAAACAACCATGACCTTTTTGATAGGGAGAACTTCGATCCATTTACAAGCTGACGACCTGCAACACTTTCGACTACTTTCTGGAAACTCTTTACCACCCTGTTAGAACCCGTTGAAAGGGAACGGGGACTCGAATCGAGCTCCTCGGACCCCCTTCAGCCGAGGACCCCCTGTGCGTGCGGCAAGTGACGCTTTTGAGTCTGACTAAAGTTCGGCCGGACTCCGGGCTCGGAATCGTGGGTCTTCAACCCACAGTACGCGAGCATGTAGCTCAAGCTGCGGAACTGTGGCCGGACTCAACAACGCAGTTCCGCAGTTTCCGCTGGCGCAGGGGGTCCTCGACTAAAGGGGTTCCGAGAAGCTCGATCCGAGTCCCCGTTCTCCTTCCACGGGTTCTGTTAGGTAGTACTCCTCATTCCTGAGTTTGTTGAGCCGTTCGAACCGACTGAGAAACCATCCCTTAAAAGGCAGATAAGGTGGCACCTGTCCACCCTGCCTCACTTCCACGAAGTTTCATCAGACATTCCGCTCTAAATTAAAAGCATCCCCTGTGCACCTTCTGTGACTTTATTTCAACCCTGTTTCCTAGTTATGTGAAAACTTCCACCTCGTCATTGGCTAACCCCCTCGCTGTGCCCAATCAGTACACTTAATGTAGGCATTGACAAATGAGTTGCCCTTTCAACCAACATTATCAGAGCTGGTGCCTTCTTCTTAGCTGCCTAAAGACGGACTGAGAACTTAAAGGCAAGCAGTTTTGACATGAGAAACTTTTGTCTTAAGGGGGATCCCTCACCATATAACCAAGAAAGCCCTTCCTCCAGAACGTTGTTCAGCAGCTGAGGGAAGGGTGGAAGCAGCAAAGGTACAACCTGACAATAGCAGAAAGGCAGCCACTTTGTAACGACATATCAGGGTTAAAAACCAGGTAATACCAGCTTTGCATTGAAGGCTGAAAAGAGAGGGTGACCACCAGATATGTGCCAGATGGGTACAGCAACTCAAACCACAGCCTGTAGTGTACCAGATGGGTGCGCATTTCAAACATCAAGTTGATTTGCTGGCATCTCACACCCATGACAGTTTCTGTCGTTTCAACCAGGTCTGCAGTCAATGTTGGTTTCATTCAGCATAGAGTCTGAACTCTGACCTACGCGATGATCTGTTCATTTTATATTCCATCACAACAATCTGCAGTCGACCACAGCGGGCAGGTAATGTGTCCTTGAATAAACACACAAGAAGGATTCAGTAGCAATCGGATTCCCAAGCCTCTTGTCTGGGACCAGCAATCATATCGTAAATCTTGTCTGAAATTTGAGGTTCCACCAGCAATCATAGAAACAAACACCAAAATTTTGTCTGGGATTTGACTATGCATTGGTCTCGGCATGATATCCCTGTCGCAGTTCTTCACGCTTACCTGGCAAATCATAAGCAGCTCTGTGATGCTCGGCCACCTCAGCAGCCACCTGGCGCCCTTCCAGAGTCCGGTTCGCACCTGGGGGACGGTCACCAGGGGCAGAAACAGGGGGGGGGGAAGGGGCGGGTTCCCTGGGGCGGCCACCCAGTTCCTATCTACCCAGTTCTCAGGCCTTGACCTCATTATGAGCAGACCAGCCAAGCTGCCCAATGCAAAGGGTACAAAGACGGCTAGCAAGGCCAGCAATAAGCCTATGAGGACCAGCATATTTGCAGTTAGAGTAATGCTGGTGGTTGTAATGCGGGTGCTTAAGTTATGACGCTGCTCTGATCAGGAGCGGTTGATATGGTGTTCCAGTATGCTGGTGGTTGGAGGGCTTGCATGCATCGAAATAGAGTGCCGGTGGTCATATGTACACCATAACCCAACCCCCTGTTCAAGTAAGCCGTTCCAGTAGCCGGGACCTAACTAGTACTGGTCGTTCTAGTGTCTTTTTGAAGTGTGCATGACGGGAACGCTGATTTGAGTAAGGTAGACACATTCAGTGGTTGGACTGATTAGCTCGGACGAAAGGGCCTGGCGCTAGTCAAGTGCCTTTTCTTAGAACCATCACAAAGACCCCCTGCGCTTGGTTTCACCCGCTCAACTAACTGATCCGCTTTGCCATCTCAAGATGTTCCTTTTTCTTAGGTTCAGATTGGAATCTGGATATCCCATCAGCGGTAGGAATCCCGTCAAAAGTACCTACCTAGGTAGTAGGACCTAGTACTGCGGTGGGCGAAGAAGACGCACTCATCTCAGTCAGCACCACCATGCAGACAGCACGCAGAAAGCCAGCTTTTCTCCGAGTACGCCCCCAGGCGCATTCACAGACATTGTCATCATGCATGGCCCGGACAGGTTCCGCCGATTCGCTGAGACCCGGTGCCCGGGGAGCCGCCTGCCAAAACCGGGTTAACGTACAGAGGCCGACTAACCTGCATGGCGGGGTTCAAGGCTTGCCGAGGGTTTCTAGTGGGGGGTTGGGGTGCGGCTAGTCCTACCGGAGGGGTTTCTCGAAACCAGGTTACAGTTTATGTTTTGCTATCAGGGTTCCAGTGTGTGGTTAAGCTGCCACTCCAGTCTTCGGCCCTGTCGGTATGACAATGATCACAAGGATTCTCGGCCGCAAAACCCTGCAACCCTGCAACCCTGCAACCCTGCGGGCCGCAGTAGGAAAGCGGCCGCGTGACATTACGGCCAGCTAGGGCCGGCGCCGCGGCAATCCCAGACGTGACCGGAACAACCGTAACCAGATGCACAGCGCCTGGCAGAATGTCCCACGCCCCTCCTCAGCGATGGCCGCCTCTGGGCCATGGATCTGTACAGTACAGGGAGCCCTACGAGCACGCCCCGCGGCTGACGTACGGCGCAGCAAGAAGCGCAAAGAGGCAGACTACCTATGCTGAGATTCGGGAGTTTATCTGCTCAACAGAGGAGCTGGGACGAACTGGCCCTCGAGCCATCATAAAGCGCTGGAAACCTATACACGGTGGTTTTGGAAGTGCAGGGTCAGGACGCGCCAAAGCTGAGAAGGAATGAAGGCGCGCCGCTGCGCACGCATTTCCGGCAATGTCTGGTACTCATTCACGAGAAGAACCAGGGGAAGCACTGGGTCGACGAGCGGCAATCGGGGTGGAACCCCTGATTGGTTTTTACCAGGCGGTCCGACCAATTAGAAGCAATAGCGCCGGCCGTCGTGTGAATCATCTGAGTCAAAGGCTGCTGGTCCAGCTTTAGCTTGAAAAACGACGGACAGAGTACTGTAGTAAGTCATTTCTGCCTTCAGGTTTTCTTCAAGCATGACTATCAGGCTTGCCCAGAAGAACGTTCGCTTGCAAGCCTCTGATTCTCCATCTAGACTTTCTTATTACTAGGAAGCTCTCTCTACCAAAGAGATGTAGGATTACTCGATGGGCAGCCAGGTTTCTTCTAAGCTGCTCGTGCAGTCTTGGTGACTGCTTAGCTTAGCTTTCGCTTTGTTTGTGACCTGCCCAACGCTTCAGGGTGCTAAAATCACTTGAAAGAATACAGGCACCCAGTTTCAATGGTTCAAGTCAGCGCCGCATGAGACAGGGAAAATCGTAACCTTGATATATACGGTCATGAGGAGCATTCTGAGAACCCGAAGCCCTCGATGTTTTCAAAGGAGAAATCGCGTGAAAGGCTCGTTGATCAAGACGAGTGCACCTTCATTGATTAGTAAGACAGGCAACTACTTGTGACGCCTCGACTGTGACATGCAAAGCTTTGTCGATCAAGATTCTTCGACAGCCTGCTTCGCCCCTGGCAGCGAGCATTTTATACTCATTACACATAAGACACGTATCGAAAGAAGAACGGCCATGCCATTCTAGTGCCCATGATTAGCTACTTCCTGGATTTATTTTTAAGACGTCTCGAAATTTCGATGTATGCCTGAAAGTCTTATTCCGAAATCCCGGTGTGCTATATATGGCTTCGCTTGATTCTTAGAAAAGACCAAAAATGCTGAACATTAAGGTACTTCTAGAGTTGAAAGGGCTCCCGTAAAAAGTATCATTGAAGGCGAAAGACGCACGGCTTCAGGCTTCAGGCCTGTGCACCCTTATTGTCCTTGTTCATGTTCTCTTCAGAGAATATACAACCGTCAAATACAGTACCGTTTACTGGCTCGTTGCTGGTCGTTCAACCCTATACTTTTAGGGCCTTCAACGTAGCAACAACCTACGAGTCCGATCAGGCACGCTCATGTGTGTTCCTGAGGACGACTTCTGGATGTAAACGGTGAACTGCCCTTGGACAAGCTACACATGCAGGCAGTGTTGGCAGGCTCCCTTCTCCGCCCGTCCCGCGTCCTCGCGGGTCCCCTCGTGGATTACGTCAGCGTCGTCGACGTCAGCGAGGGCGCAGCCGCGCTTGGTCAGGTGGTAGGAATCGCTGCGGTCTCTCCAGTAGACGGTAATTCTCTCCAGCATGCCATCACTTATGCGCAGCTTGGCCTCCAACTCTTTGACCCGCGCAGTCTCCGCACTCCAGAGCTGGAAAAATTGTGTCGATTCAGAAATGAAGACCGGCATTCGGTTCGGCAGGAGTAAGAAGCGAAGCAAATCAGATTGGGTGCGGGTTCCCTTCTGGTTTAAGATGGCTACGGTTTCCGAGCCGCTCAAAACTGTGGGTTAGATATCTGGTTTTGAATGGGCGGCTGATCAATCTTGAAGCTAACACGAATCCTAATTCGACCGTCGTACCTTGAGCAGCCTCAAGATCTGCCGGTGTAGACCCTCAATCTCCTTATTCATCGCCTGGATCTTCTGGTTGAGCGCCGGAGCCAGGGCCCAGTCTTTTCGGGCGTGCTCCCGGTCCAACCGTTGAAATACCCCACACACGTTTGACACGGTCTGGGCAACGATCTTCTTTGCAGAGGCGCTGTCGATGATTGGTTCCTGCGCCGGGCCCTGCAGGCACAAGAAGATCCGTCGTGGGTTTCCTAAGGTATTTTTGCCGACCTTAGGCTGGTCCAAATAGTACAACAAGCCAGAAGTGCTTAGAGCGGGCGATTCTGCCGGAATACCCACCGGGGTTGGAGTTACGTTAGTCCCCGGTCAAGCTTCGTGCACGCTTTGAAAGCTCAGCTTGAGGGCAGCGGGTCTTTTTGGTTTGCTCGCTTTAAGATCCAGACTAGCGGAGGTCACAATATCTGATTTAAAAGGAGGGAGCTTGGATGGTTATGTCTTTCCCACAACCGTCTTTCACTTGAAAAAACGACCACTGTCTTGATATGGAATTCGGAGGATCCAACGCAGAAATAGAGTTTGTCAACCGTTTTAGGACTACGTGAAAAGGTGGCATTTTGGCAAAGCTTTCGTCATGTCCCCCCAGAGAAAACCTCATTTTCTTCCAAGTCGTTACGTCATCATGTTTGCAACGGGTCTAAAATTCTATCCTTGTAGTGTCACTCCTCACAGACCAATTGACAAACATGTTCTTGTTCTATTGTTCACCGCTCAAATATCATTTGAAAGAAGCCCTCCACCTCTCCCTCTCCACAATCAGAAACCTCAACGTACAAAGTCAAAAGAGAACCTCAACAAAGTCAAAAGAGGATACAACAACAATTTACCGAAGCAGACTTCTTAAAACGAAAGCCTTGAACACAAAGATACGCAGTCGCTTACCCCTGAAGCTGGAGTGACGGGCGTGTCTCCTTCAGCTTGGGAAGTGGGCGGGGCCCGGGGCGGGGCGTTGTCCTTGTTATCTTCTGTAACACGAAGTGCGAAGAAGTTTAAGGCTTAGCAGCCAAGGTGATCCATTTGTATGACAAACTTCCAAAGTACGTTGTTCTTGTCTAAAAGACCCGCAAAGTGTCTTTTTCAGCGTAAGTACTGCTACGATTGTCTCAATCACAGAAACGAGCAGGCAGAAACGGAAACGCCTGGAGCAAAACTCAAAGCACCGACACCACAAGCACGAGGATACGTGGAAAGACAAGGGCGCGAAGATTCTGTCTTGCAGGAGGTGCTCAACTTGCAAACGTGATGAAGACCAGAAAAGCATCGCATCCTTTTACCAGAGATGGCTCGCTGCTGAACTTACTCTTACCGTTCTCCGTGGTGGGGTGGACGAGTCCCTTTCCTTGTTCCTTCTTTCCCCGCTTTCCAGAAGAAGAAGGCTTCTTGACAGCCATGGCGCTTGGACGCGTAAACAAGAAGGATGCGAGCTCAAGAAGTGGTGAAAAGAGACACCTTGACATCTTTTGTATAACGGAGGTGGGAGACTGCTCCTTAGAGAAGTCAAATCTGCACAAAGAAGACCTTCTTGCTGGCAGTACGGGAGCTCGAGTACTCAGAGCTGCAGTGGCTAGTCCTCGGTTACTTGCCCGGTTGAATAGTCGAATAGGATGTTGCTTCTGGGGGAACTTTGAACGAGTAGGTGCTTGATCGAATTGCTGCAAGCTTCATAGATTTCCCGACGTGAATCTTCTGCTCTTGACAGTGCTTACGGTGATTTAGCCGCCACCGCGTTGCTTGAGATCAGCGACTGCACTGGATTAACTTAAAGATTTCGGACTCGCTGCCGTGACACTTGACGTTCTGACCAGGGATGGGAATGTTTCGGTCTTTTTGGCCCGAAGCTTTTGAATGCTAGTACGTTGTTTGGCATGAACCTTGAGTAGGGTTGAACTTGAACTTGATAAGAAAGCAACGCACCAGGTGTCGCGACCCCTGACGAAGCAGCGCATCTCTAATGGTCTTGTCAAGGTCCGAGCGTTTCAGGAAAGTTTGATGTGACAATGCACTTATCCTGCTCGTCTCTTCAAAGATTGCAAAAAACAAGCCGGTCACATCTTGCGTGGAGCCAGGAGGGCTTGAAATCCTATTAATACGTTCCACACTAAAAGCGGGGAGTTCGAATGCTTCTAGACCAGCTAGAGGAGACCGATGCAAGATTCAGGTCAACTCCATCACCGAGTCCGTGGGTCATCCTGGACAGCCAGCATATTTAGCGCGGAGCTTGTCATGATATACGGTAAGCCAGGCTTCGATCTTCGTGAGGGAGCCTGCATATGTAGGTACGCAGCGGCGTTCGAAGTCCTCCTGCAAGCAGCCGAGGTACGGTAGGATTGAACACTTTCCGAAAAAGGCGGATTCGATCGAGTCTGCGGCTCGGTTCTCACTTTCACCACGCCAGCTAGCTGGCTGTTTTTGCCAGGCCGCGCGCGCGCCAGCCTGGTCACGTGGCCCAGACAATCTCACTCGGACGTACGCGGTCGGCGGTGGCGAAACCCTCAAACCCTAAACCCTGTCGGAGATCGGCCCGAAAAGCGGCCGCGCGCCTTACTCTGCGGCCGGCCGCGACCGCTCAGGTCGAATGCGGAAACTTTCTACTACAGTAGAAGACCTTCTCTTTTGTAGAGTGCCTTCTCTTCGGTCTTTTCCTGCTAAGATTGTGAAAAGGTTCAATAGCGCCTGGCAAAAAATGTATGGATGGACAGGATACGGGTCAGATCTCCGGTTGAAGTATGTCCCGCCTCCTCAGCCACGGCCGCCTCCAGGCCATGGTTCCTTACAACACAGGGAGCCCTACGAGCACGCCCCACTGACGGCACAACAGGAAGAGCGGATGCTTGAGTTGTCAAAAAAGCGGCAAACCAACTTGGCGGAGCTCCGGGAGTTTAGCTGTTCAATTGAGGAGCTGGGACGAACTGACCCGGACAGAGCGCTGGAACTCTATACGCAGTGGTATGTGGAAGTGGAGGGAGCTGAAGGCTCGCCAAAAGGAATCAACGAAGGAGGGGCGCTGCGCGCGCACTTCCGGCAGTGTCTGGCGCGCTGCCACAAGGAAAGCACTGGGACGAGAGGGACAAGGGGCTGAATCCGTATTGGGTCTTTCGCATGCGGTCCAACTAGAAAGGACCGCGCCGGCCGGCACCCCATCTATGACACTCTTTGAAGCACAGCCCGATGTTCTCTTATGAGTTCAAACTACAAGGGCAATAAAGCTCCATTTCGTAGAAGCTCCATTGCTGAGAAGCTCCGTTGCTACTACTTTAGGGTTTTGTTCATGCTCCCTATGATTTCTTTCTTCCAACAGCCTCTACGTCCTTTGCCTGCTATATATATTCAGAAATGACACATGTTTTGGCAACAGCGGCATGTCATGTTTGTGTGATCTCGTGCAGAGTTCCCTTCGATCCCATTCAGAATAGTGCAGAACTTCAGAAAGATCAATACTTTTGCATTGGGTTGAAGAAGAAGATTTGGAGCTCAAGCTTCTGACAGACCAGCATCAAAGCCGCATGACAATTGTGAGAGTGAGTTAGGGTCAACAACTAACAATCACCATCCCCGATGCTCCAAGTTACTTGTTGGCTGCAACTCATGGGCTTCGACTAGCAACAGAGCACTTGCATGTTTTTTAGGTAATCAACAAATCGATTATTGCGAGATCCCATTCTAGATAGTACTGACGAATGGCAATTGACTATCGACGAATGGCAATTCCAATCTTCCAAATACAGTGTATTGTGGTCATATTCAATCAGGTGGCATGCATCTAAACGAACTTTAGCGTCGAGTTTGCAGAAGGCCATGGCAGTGGATCCTTCCGAAGCTTTCACCATGTCCGAGTAGGACATGCGAATGCATATATGTGCAAATATTGGAATAGTTGCAAAGCCAGATGATTGCGCTGCACTTTCCTATAAAAACGTCTGCTCTGAGCTCCAAACACGTGCATTAATGGCGAGACAAAAACATCTTTTTCTACCTCTGGCGGAGGTGACGTCCTTCGCTTCCTGTGCCAGTAACCGTTCTGCTCTTGGGGCGCGTCAGGCTGCCTTACTCGTTCAGATCAACAGCTCCGCTGTTCCGTTTGGGTCGTTCCGGTCGTCTACTTCCGGTCGCGTCTCATATTGAGGCCAGACTGACGGATAATTCGACACGGAACCAAGACGTAACCGGCGTGTGGGCACGCAAGGTCGCACAGACGGTCTAGAACAACACGGGAATTAGCCTGTTTAGTCTGAATAAAGGCAGCAACCTGGAAACCATCTAAACAAGGTCTAGGATCTTGTTGTTCAATTGAATTGATAGCCAATAGCAACTCTCACCCGCAGCAGATTAGACTCCTGTACAAAAGATGGCAGAGTCGGCAGCAGCTGATGATTATCGGAAACACTTGCTGGCAGCCCTCGAAAGTATTGAACGACCTGGCAGCTTCAGCTTTGGGGCTTCGCTCAAGAGCTTCTTCCATCCTGGATTGGAGGTTCCTGAGCTTGGTTCTGTTGGACTACCGCTAACGTATGAGCAGGCACAACAACTGGCAAAACTCTGTTCCCAAGCACCCTTTGGGCGGAGGTAAGTCTACCTCTGAAAAGCTTAGCATGTCGAGTACTTTTTCAGGTTCGGTTTAGGAGGACAAGGGAACTTGTCTTTTTTTTGCATGTCATATAGAAATCTCCGTTCAGTTTGTTCAAGATTGCTGACCACAATTGCGTCATTATTTGACCAGTTTGACATACAAAGCTTATCATTATCCACATCTTCGTGATATTCAAGCCTGAAAAACTGAGATACACTCTCTTGTTGAGCGAAAAGTACTGCCTGTGATGCCTTCGGGGTTTACGTGCATCTAATTTTGAAGTGGCAACTCACCTTATTCCATATAATCATGTTCCCTATGGGCTTCGTTTTGAAGGCTTCTAGTAAGATGCCCTTTCAAGATCTCCAGCCCTCTGGCCAACCCCATTTCCAGGTCATCTTATCAGACCTATGCACAAGATTGATTCTTTGATTGTGAGCGTGCTCTTGAAATTCGACTTTGACGTTTATGAATTTTTGTTTTCAGGGAGAGAATCATCTACGATGACAGCGTCCGCAAGTGTCTGCAGCTGTCACCCGACCAGTTCAGCCTGGCTGGCCCCGGATGGGATGCGCAAGTCCAAAAGCTGGCAAATCAGGAAGTGAAGCGAGGCCTCGGGCTTCCTGAGGGCGTCAAAATTGTGGCAAATGCTTACAAACTTCTTTTGTATGAGGTCGGCGGCCACTTCAAAGTCCACCAAGATACCGAAAAAGAGGACGGCATGTTCGGGACTCTGGTTTTCGTGCTGCCATCGGCGCATTCTGGAGGTAAGCATGATGCAGTACCGCAACCCGTTCAAGCTTTTGCTTTCGACTGAAGCAACAAGACGAGAGGAATTTGTGAAGATTGGATCACTCGTTTTTCTAGGACATTTGGCCTTGTCTATTTTCTGCAATCCTTTCGTCGGTAAGCTTCAATTTGGATTGCGAAAGCATGCTCCAATCGTGGGGTTAGGGACTCAAATGTCTGAAACTGAACGCGCCTTACTCTCAGGGGAGCTTGTGGTACGTCACGCGGGTAAGAAGAACACGTACGACTATGCCAGGGAGGACGTCTACGCAATCCACTATGCTGCATTCTTTGCGGACTGCGAGCACGAGCTTCTGCCCATCCAAACGGGTTACCGACTAGCCCTGATCTATAACCTCGTCGTGAAGGTAGGTCGGCAAATATCCTTCGCTTCTCTATACTCTGTTTGGGAAATTCCTCGCCGCTGCTCGTGATCACTTCTGATATACAGAGAGAGAAGGTCAGCCGGTGGTGAAGTAACCAAGCGCAAGATCGCATTTTTGCCCCATTTTTGCAACCATCCAGAACATGTGCTTTCGTAATTGACTGAGGGACGTTTTGATCAGTGCCTCAAGTAAACGTCGAAGAAGAAGATACGGGGAAAGTGTTCTCCTTTGTCGCGTTGGAATTTGATCTGATCGTACTACCTATTCTCTTTAGGATCAAAATCTGAAAAGGAAAGGGCGACATTGTTCCATTCGTTTAATGTTCATCAGATTCACAGTAGGCCTTTTCTCAAAAACTCTACCCTTTGCAGAGCTCAAATCGATTCCAAGGCCCTGCCGACAACACAAAAGCTACCGCAGAAGTCGCCGAAGCCATTAAGCGATGGACCCAAGATAGCAACGGAACCAAGAGAGTGGTCTTTCCTCTGGAGCACCAGTACACCCAGGAGAGCTTGTCGTATGACAGGCTGCGTGGGAGAGACATAGCGACGGTCGAAGTCCTCCTGCAGGCAGCTAAGGTAGGAATTCTTTGAAGCTTTTTGAGGGGACCTGATTTGCTTGGCTTTGCAGCAACCAAAGCCTCTGGTCACGCCCGGATCAGAAGACGTCCATACCTAAGGTTCCGGTAATGGACTCGCTTGTGCACTGCGCTTCCGTATGCAGGAACTTTTACATGCTAATTCCTGTGCCAATTCTGCAGACCCGCAACGCCCCTGACGTCCACCTTTATCTGGGAATGCTACAGAAGTTCGAATCGCGCAAGGTGGCCTATCCTGAACGCGACTTCGACACCTCATTTGCCTTCAGCAACGCTGTACCCTTGCATGGTTACTCAGGCACCTACAAATGCATCAGAATCAAGGGAGAGGGTAAGTTAACTTCTTCAAAGGGCTCGCTGATCCCCTTGTTGTTAATTTTGTACACCTTGAGGGACGGTGATCTAGATCACTGTGATAGAAGCAAGAAGCTCGGTGATTTGTTTTTGCAGATGAAGAGCTCAGGCGCGAGCGACAATCCTTCTCACCATAAAGGAGAGTGGAAGAAACTTTGTGGGAACTTTAGAACGCGTATGTGCTTTTGTCCGAGTATGACGTTAAGCGCTGGTCGGGACTGTATTCATTTGCAGAGCTGATATCCGAGATCGCTCTCGCCGGCCGGGAATGGGAAGAAGAGGAGGAGCGCTCCACCGGGAATGAGGGGACCATGGAAGAGCGCTGGTTCCACCACGCCGCTCTGGTGATTTGGCCGCATGCCAGACACTGGAAGATAGCCTACAAAAACGACCAATATACGGTTCTGAAGGTGAGATGATCTGTAGCACAAAACTCTCTGAAGATCGTCACGCTGGTCTGGATCTCAAGCTCTTGCTGGTAGACGAGAAGCAAACAGACTGATACGAATAAACAATCAGCAGCGAGGAAGACAGGCACTTCTGCTGAGTGGCAGCTTTGTTGTATCCATTTTTTCGCGGTCGCGCGCATGGCACCCCGTTTCATAAAGCGCGGCAACAAGCAAGCGTTGCCTAGCATCTGTTTGTCGTCGATCGGAAGCACTCTTTGACCACTGATCTCCCCGTGTTTGCAGGAAGCATGTTCTCTCTCCGACACCGTGACAGCTTTGCCGCGCCTTCTGGAAGCCGCCTGCTTGACCCAGGGTCGGCTCAGTCTCGGAGAAGCAAGCACTGTCGCAACGCTGGTACTTGAGCACGGACACGTGTATGCCGTCGAAGAGCTGGCGGTCGCCGTCAAAGAGCTCTGCGCGCCGCACTGGCGGCTCTCCAATACCTCCGATCCGACAGTGGCGGGGCTGATCGCAAAACACGGCTACGTGGACCTCGCAAAGGTGAGCCAGTCTCTGATATTGATGGTACAATTGATGAGTCGGAGGCTGTTGTCAGCTTGCAAAGAAAAGCTGGGAAGCCAAGGCGTGCCACTGAGTATCCGTGAGCGAGTGGTTTCGAGACGATCACAACGAATGTCGTTTCGTTGCGCGCTGTGAATGTTGATGCGAATCGGCTGTGACCGATCAATTTTCGTGCTTTCATTGGTGAGCGCAGGTGTTCATCCGAAAGTACGGGGGCCCACGGTACTCCGAAGATCCCGGCGTCGTGGTCCTTCTCGGGGCCCGTTTCGGTTGGAAAGCTTTAGAAACGGCTGTCATTGACTGGCTGCATCGAACCTTTGCCCTCGCGTATGGAGACGAAGACTGCTTCCGGTTGCTGCTTCAGATTTGCGACGCCGCTCCAAAGGAGCAGATGAACATTGATATAGAAACACAGACTGGAGAAAATGGAAAGGGGCTGTCGGTCGGGACCGGGCGCACTGAAGGGGACTCAAATATCCTCGGAAATGAGCAGGAGAGATGGGCCGTAGTTGACAAAGCCCTAGCAGCGTTGGTTACGTCTACGTCCACAAAGTGGTCAGGCTCATCCAGCGGTCTGACTCGTCTGACAGAACTCTTGTCCAAACACTACTTTGGACAAGTCCTGGAGCGGTTCGGGTGGCAGCCTTGGATGCCCGCCATCGACTGCCTCATCTTAGACAGTCTGACGTGTTCACTGAATGCGATCCAGGGTTTGCTTGGGGCCGTTACAGTGCTCCATCCGGACGTTGAGATGCTCGGTGCCTCGTCCGAACGGACTCAGGCGGCGGCCACGTCCGGAAACGTCGCTTCCATGGCTGCGGACATTTGTCAGAAGCTGTCCGGCAAACTGGTGTCCCAGTTGCTCGACGAGAACGAGTCGAACAGCTCTGCGGAGCGCTATCCCTACACCCAGTACTACATCTCCCGGCTGCTAGGGGCGCTGCACTGCTGGGGCTTCGACGGCGACGCTTTGAAAAAGCTGGTCGCTCACTTTGTGGCCCATCCGCAGCTCTATGACCTAGATAAAGCTCTCCTGCCGGCGCTTACAGAGCTCTGGGCCTGGCTGAAAGAGCTGAAAGAGGCAACTTCCCCGGCCTGGATCGTCGAGTTTTGCCGAGGCTGTCTCGAAGCGCTTGATAGGAGCCGCGGCGACCCCCCGCTGAGAGCGCGCGATTGGGCGGCGCGTGTGGAGTGCGGCTGCGGCTGCCTGTACTGCAAGCATCTCGTTGAGTTCTGCCTCGATCCGGTGAAGATAGAGACACAATCATTTGCGGGGCTGGGTATACAGGCGAAGGCGCACGTGATCGACTCCATCCAGCGGTAAGGAATCTTGGCTGGCAAACCATGTCTCTCAACTTCAGATTGCGAAGATCTTGTTTGCGGTGTCTAGTTCGTACCGTTAAAGTTTTCTAGTAAAACCGAAGCGTGTGGTCCGTCCGTTACTTCATCAGGTTAGTGACTGCATCAACTTTGCCGTTTCTTTATGCTAGCAGAACATTCTAACATGGACGTCTTTCATATTGCTCAAACGAAAGGATCAAAGGCTTCTCTCATCCAAAGAGATGTGTCTTTAATGTCCCTCTGGTTTTCAACGACATCATCTCGTGCGCTCCCTCTCGTAGGTACAATATGCCCATTTACTCGTACGGAAACCTGCTAGTCTGCGTCAAGAAAGGGGCTCCAAGCCTACTTACTTCTTCTACTGACCGAAAAGGGCGGAAGGACTGGCAGAAGAATTTGAAAAGGGTCAAAAGGCGTGCAGCATATTAGAAGACTTACTTGTTGAGATGTTGAAGGCCTAATCCTTGAGCAGCGATTATCTCTCCTTGTAGGTTGTGCAGGCTCTGTGGGTGCAGTGCCATTGACAGCAACAGGCTTTGTAGCATTAGCATGCTTGAAGCAGCCATAACAGCATGATGCATGGGTGCAGTTGACGGCATGTTTATATCTTTGGTCACGGCCATGTGCGACGCAACGCGCCACCCGGGATGAGACTCCCCGCTCGCGATTTTGATTTGCCGGCCTTGCGACCGCAGGATTGACTCGAATTGTGAGCATTTCGTAGGCACTTCGCAATCTTGACCGTCCACATAAAGCAAATTTCAATTGACAACGGTCCTTAGCTATTAGTACGGGCTGCTTCGTATTGATCGTGTTCGTCTGAGTGGGTTTGCGGCCAAGGGAAAAGACTCCAAAACCCGTAGAGAGATGACAGATAGAATATGATAGTTGTTGAATGTCGTCGGTGCTTGAGCGGCGATCGCGCGCCCTTGCAATCCACCCGGACTCAACTGTCTCAATTTTCTGCATGCAAAAGCGATCCCCCCAGGCATCTTGCAGTAACAGATCAGCCAGATAAGCGGAAGATTCTCAAATATCATGAAAAAAGCAGGCTGCAGGCTGCAGGCTGCAGGCTTTGCCTTTTAGCCCAGTGCTGACTCCGACAATATGTTCATAATACGTGCGCTTCAAGTACGAAAAGTAAAACATCTGAAGAAGCTTAAAGTGCGACACGCCCGCAGGCCACTTTGAACCTTCCGACCTGTCTTTTCGGTTGGCCGCGGCCGGCGATCACAAAAGTTCTAAACCTTGCCGGGGCAGGAAAGCGGCCGCGGGACTCCGCGCGGCTGGCCGGCCGCTCACTAAGAAGAAACTCCGCTGACCCGACTCCGGTTGTTCCGGTCTACTGTTTGCAAAAGGACTGTGTGCGGAAATGCTAAGTTTCCACCATAAGCCCATGGCAATCTTGAGCGGGACGGGACTTCATATGCCTAAACAAAGACAGGTACCTGAGAAAATCTGAACAAAGATAGGCGCACAACGACTCTGCTACAGTAGTCACCGCCACTGACGACTCTCACAGTTGCAGAATCGTAGAGAGCTATGGCGGACTCAGCAGCAAATGGTTACTGCCGCAGATTACTCTCCGCTCTCAAAAGTATCGAGCGCTCTGGCAGCTTCAGTGTTGGTGCTTCGCTCGAAAGCTTCTTTCCTCCTGGCTTGGAGATCCCTGACCTTGGTTCAATTGGACTACCGCTGACACGTCAGCAGGCACTGCACCTCGCAGAAATATGTTCCCAAGCACCATTTGGACGCGGGTAAGTTTACTTTTGAAGACGTTAGCACGTTGAGTACTTGTCCAGGAGATGATCATCGACTGAAGAGAACGTGAAGAACCTACTTTGTATGAAGCTTCCTTGTATTTGGAGAATGCCGTTTGTTCAGTTTGTTCAAATGACCAGCCACACGCTTTTGTTAATAAAAAGCAACATGTTTCTGAAGATCGTTTGGACATGCGTTTCTTGATGATTAAAGCTGGTAGGGAATAGCCATCTTTTCATTGCCAAAAGCTAGCTGCCAATGAGCCTTCAATGTCAAAGTGCATTCTATAAGCTGGCAACTTGAAAACTCAGCCATAGGTGTCAGTTTTATGCTCTTCAGTCAAATTTTCTTGTACAGCCTTTTCATCCCAAGCAAACACCATAGCCAGGTGACGAGGGGTCTTCTCGTGCACAGGGGTCACTTTACATGTCCTGAACGTGCTCTTGATGACTCGAATTTGACACTTGTAATTTTCTCCGTCCAGAGAAGAAACAGTCTACGACGACAGCGTCCGCAAGTGTTTGCAGCTGTCCCCCGACCAGTTCAGCCTGGCGGGACGCGGATGGGACGCTCAAGTCCAGAAGCTGGCAAATCAGGAAGTGAAGCGAGGCCTCGGGCTTCCTGACGGCATCAAAGTTGTGGCAAATCCTTACAAGCTTCTCTTATATCAATTCGGCGGCCACTTCAAAGTCGACCGAGATTCTGAGAAAGAGAACGGCACGTTTGGGACTCTGGTCTTCGTGCTGCCATCGGCGCATTCTGGAGGTAAGTCTGATGCAGTGAGGATGCAGTATCCGACTTCTTCGATTTTCGCCTTTTTCGATTTTCGCCTTTAATCGAGAGCGAATACAAAGAGACTTTTCAAGCAATTCCATCCTCTTTGATTGCTTACGGAACCTGTCAACATGCATTTCTCCTGTTGTTAAGCTTCAATCTGTGTGTGTCGCGATTGTACTCTAAATCGACCAGCTGGGGACTCAACACTCTGAATATAGCACGTCTCTTGTTCTCAGGGGAGCATGTGATACGTCACGCCGGGCAGACAAATACGTACGACTTTGCCAACGATGACGTCTACGCGATCCACTATGCTGCATTCTTTGGGGAATGCGAACACGGGATCTTGCCAATCCAAGCGGGCTACCGACTAGCCCTAATCTATAACCTCATTGCAAAGGTAAGTCATGAAGGTCTGCAAAGCTGCTACCCGTATTCCGTTCCCTGGATTATAATGACCGGAAAAGGCCTTGCCGCTGCTCGTGAAAAGGTTGGGCCATCAACGCGTGATTGCGTCAAGAAGTGCAAGTTGCAATTGATATGAATATTCGATGACGGCAGGTTTTCTACGTGCTTCAAAATGCTGCCTCAATCTACTTCTCAGCACCTGAAGAAGGGATCAGGGTTAGAATCCTTGTTTTCTATGGCGTATAACTTTGATCATCACCGTTCTATGCAGTCTCTTCACGATCAGAATTAGCAATCGAAGGGCGCAATCGTCACACAGATTGTATCCTTGATCAGAGGTACCAGCGTTTCGGTTATAAGGAAAGCGTCCGTTCGGGCGTTGATCCAGGTAGACGTTCATCGCTTTCCTCTGTCCTGAAGTGTCAATCACCAGCTGCACGTTGTACTCAGATTGCCTACTGCAGAACAGACGCGCTTTGCAGACAGACGGCCGTTGTGTTGAGAAAACACCGTGCTTCTACTTACAACTCTCTTCGGTCCTGTGCAGATATACCGTACGCCACCTGGGTGCGAGCCAAGGAGGCGATTCCTCGGCCCTGGAAGAGGAAGGGCTCGGGCCGAGTTCCGAAGAAGCGCTTCTTCGTCTTGGATCTCAAGCAACTTAGTCAGGGTTCCGATGCAGAGATTGACAGAGCGGCCTCCGAGTATGACAGCGAGGCGGAGTGGGAGGCTCAGGGAGTCGAGCGGGAGAAAGAGCGGAAAGCGAGACGTGTGGAGAGAAATGCAGCTGCGTTCACCGCTCGACACCCCCCGGTTGCCGGCGGGCCGAAGCGGCGTGCTTCGATCGCCCTGGAGGAGGGTCCACGGCCGCAGAAACGAAGCCGGCTGTCCCTCCCAGCTATTCTCCCCTCTCCCCAGACCCTAAAACCCCAATTCCTCGAATACCTCCCCATCGTCCAGGGGAATGAGCTGCCTCGGTCGCCGCTGTCCAGAAACTCCGCTCCAGATCCCTATGCAGAGGCTTCTCTGCTCGCCATGATGGCATTCTACGCGTCTCCCAGTCCGAGCGAGACGAGTCGAGACGGCGGGGAAGAGAGACTCGTCGCGGGAAACGTCGATTCCGGTTCTCAGAGAGGGGTGAGGGGTGAGGAGGAACTTGTGGTGCGAGAAAATTCGGGGGAACCTCCGGGTGTCGAAAGGGTGCAGGAGGAGGAGAACGGAGAGACTGTCACAGGAGCTGTCCCAGACGCGGAGCGAGGGGGCGGTGGGTCAGGGGACAACGTAGAATT